TTATTATTATTATTATTATTATTATTACCTTGATTTCTTCGTAATACGGCATGAATAGCCTTGGCCTTACAAAAAATCCATTTTTCTTTCCTCCTCTGATCCAAGCATTCACCCTCAAATTATCTCTTTCGTCTCCTATCATGTGGCTTGGTGGCGTTGAAACTAGTCCTCTTCTAATGGCCTAAATTATCAACATAAAAAATATATAATTAACGAGATATATTTACTTTCAAATAATCTAAAATGTTTGGTGGGAATTATATATACCTGCACTAATGCTTCGCTATTCGGCGGCAAAATATGATCTATTCTGACAAGAGGCAAAAGTTCACTTAGTATCTCCCGTAATTCGATGTCGCTAAGATCCCTTTTCTTTATACCCTTTCTCGTCACGGAGTGCACAGTATGACTAAGCAAATTGGGTTCCCGATCCTCCATTCGACGTACTAATTCGTGTTCGCCCCATTTGAGCACTGCCTGCAGTACTTCAAGTTCGCTCGCTTGTAAAAAATGGCTCTGTAAAACATTCGCTAAGTGGGCATGATCTAACTGATGAAGAATCGAGGACGAAGCAATTGGCTGAAATTCCTCCCTTAAGTAATGTAACGCTTGTCTGTGCACCCATGCTGATCCGTGAGGTTGACTGCCCCATCTGCACGTAATGTTATATTTTTTTTTTAGTAACAATCTAATTTCAAACTTTTATGAAAGATCTATTAATCGGATTTACTTGAGAACAGTCGGTAGTGATTCCAAGGTGAGATACTCCAAAATAAGATCCTCGCAACCTTGCGATAATATATCAAGCTCGAGAAACCGTCCAATCTGATACAATTCCATCGCTTCTTCTAATGGACTCGGTCGCATTCGGCCCGTATGTGTCAGGGCTTGAACCTGTAAATTTAAACAAAAGTATTAAGGCTTCTGTTCACTCACTACTATCTCAGATTGTGAGAAGCGAGAAAATACACATTAAAAATTCTTTTGCATATATTCGAATATTAAAAATTATTATTTAATAAAACACTTGCAGTCGATAGAATAGACTGACAAAATATACCGAAACTGTCTTTTTGTCTCGAGAAAAAATTAAATCATATTTATTTCTATATACCTATTATTAATTTGACAATTGTCATGGCTGTAAATATAACTCATTTCGTTTTTGATTAAACATAATTCATTTCTAGATATATAGTTATTTATTAATTTACAAAACAAAAAGAGTTTTTGGTACATTTTATAAGTCATTTTTATCAAAGTGTTATTTTGTCGAAACGTATTTTCACTTTAATGTATTCTGCAAGACATTTTTTGTATTTTCTCGCCTCTGACGTCACACAATCTAATGGCCTGTTCTTTTTAGCTGCACTTCTTGCACGATTCATCTTTTCTCTTTTTCTCTCCACACTGAAGAAAAAAAAAAGAGGAAAAATGAACCGTGCAAAAAGTAACAAATGAACAGGAACTTTAACATAGGTATAAAATTAATATACAATCAGTGTACAGACTATTTCTATATGCTAAGACTTGCTTACCTCTCCCAAACTACCAGCGCTATTCCCACAACCGCTTCCTCTCAATATTAATGACAAGTCAACGGTATCTAGATATACAGCATGCAGCAATACTCTGGCATATCGTTTAGGTATCACACTCTCGTCCAACACTATTCTAGTAGGTATGTGAAGCGCCCTTTCTGTGTGATCCTCGCCCGATCTAGTCCGTCTTTGTATTAGATTTCTGAAGAAGGGAGATCTCGCGGAAAGTATCGCTTTGTGACATGGCAGCTCTAATTTCGGACGAAATCCGTACTCCGAACTTCCACTATCCGGTCTTTGATAATCGCTGTCCGACGTGAACACGAGTGCGGCGTCCGCATAATCGCCGGTGTCCAGTAAATATCTGAGATCATGCTCCAGTGGATTTGGAGTACCGAACTCTTCCCCGAGCCGTCGGAGTAGATTCGCTTCCAAAGTCGCATCATGCGGACAAATATCACCAGTGTAGAGATATCGTAATAATGCTGAGAACATTTGCACTTCGAGATGCGGAGTTCGCAGCTCCAAACATATTCTAGCACCATATCCTGTAATTTAAAAAATATATATATATAATTTGTAAGCAATATAACAATATATTGCATTAAATTAATTTTCACATTACGAAGAAGACATTGCTATAGAGAAACTTTATTGTAGTAATAAAATAAAGTAACTTTATTTTACGAAGAGAATGTAAGCTATCGTTAAAATATGTACCAGGACAACCAGCCAGCAGATCCCTAAAGTACGGGCATCTGGCGGAAAGCACGGCTCTATGAACGGGAAAACACGCTCCTCTATATACAAGATCCACATCGGAGCAATGTTTGTAATCATATAACATCGACAGATCTTGCTTAAACGTAGCAGCTGGCGGTCTAGCTAATTCGGCTTGAACATGAAGATCTTTCAACGCAGCTAACGCCTCGTACTCTTCAAGCAAAGCGGTCGCTTCTAAGTGACTCCATGTGCACACCAGGTCTCTAATAATTCTACCATGATCACACGCTTTGGAGGAGCGGCGTCTCCTAATAAACTTCTTGCGTAGCGTCGCAAATCCTGTCATCTTCTTCTTTTTCTCTCTATACATGAATAAACAACTATAGAAAGTTTGATGCGCGATCAAATCTATAACTCTCATCTTTGAATCTCACACACACACACACACACACACACACATACATTATTTATTTATTTATTTACATATTCTAAAAGTATTTGTATGTACACTTTATACATGTTCAATATTTTTCTAAATTTCTTGCTTAAGATAATATGTTTAAAAATAGTCGTTGATCAAAGCTTTATGCGCTTATCGCAACCAAACGAGCCAAATTCGTTTCTTTTATTCGGATAATTCAAAGGTTAATACGACATACGAATATCGCAAATTGTATAAAACGTTGATAATGTACCTAACTGCAATGCCATGTTGTTCCGGACTACTTGACGCCGAGAGTCTGGCTGCTTGGACTGAATCTCCACCTACGCTGGTGATGCTTGATGATGCAGAAGCACCCATTCTATGTGTCATGTGAGAGGCATCTCCAAGCTGTCTTCTCATGAACCAGGAGTCCCTTTTATCAGTATTATCAATACCCCTTATGCGTCTGCGTTGTAACACACACGGTGTCAAAATACGAAGTACATTCATTGCTCACCCAGACGACAGCCTGAAACAAATCAGTGCGCGTATGGAGACATATTAGCCCATGTTAGCAGGTGATTTATGTTACTGTATAACATTTTATTGCAAAATTATTTAAGTTTCCTTGAGATACAATGCAAATACAGCAAAGAAAAGTAAGTAGTCTATATGTGATGCATTAATATTTAAGTCTTTTAATTAAGATATATATATATATATATATATATATAATTTTTTTCTTTTTTTAATGGGCTATAAATAGCTATTCGTGAATCATGATACAAATACAGTGTTACATATTACTATTAAATATTTATCTAGAGTTGAAAACACAGTTTAAAGTCGCTTGCATTTGCACGGTTCACTCAGGGGATTATAAACATGAAATTCAAGTTTATGCAAGCAGAGAATTTTAGCTTACGCAGATTCGAGCTATATTAAAAAAAAAAAAAAAATTAAGTACCAAAATCGAACGCTCGATATGTCCAAATTCGCAAAATTTGCCCGAACTCCAATTTGAATGTACGTACGTATACTTGCGCGAATGTAAAGCATTGACGTAGATGCGAACAACGTGCAAACGGAGACCTCAAGACCTCCGGAGATTGAATCTGAGCGATTGAAATATTGATAATGGCATTGCATAGCGACAGATCTCGGGCGAGTGTTTTCTCCCGAGGGGATACCTCATACCACTACCCGTTCACGGCGAGGGTAAAGGGCAGCGCGCGCGAGAATCCCCCCGCGATCGCGGGATCGGCGCCAGCTATCAGGCTACCAGGAGACATGCCACGGTCCTCCGTTTGGACGCGCACGACGGTGTCGGCGGTGGCTGTGCGAGCGGTAGTGCAAATAACGCGTGACGGGCAATCAACGATACGTGACGTGCAAAGCAGCAGCAGGTTCACTCACCTTCGCAATTCGCAAGGGGCGAAAAGGGGAGGAGGAGAGAGAGGGCGAAAAAAAAAAATAGGAGACGCTTGTGATGTAAGCCGCGGGTCGCGTGAACGGCGGGGCGATAACGAGCGAGTTGCACACAAACAACACCCGCCGTCGGCCGTCAGGTGAAATCCGCGGATTTGCGCCCGACGGCGACGACGGTGGCGAAGGGAGCGAGCGAGAGAGAAAGAGAGAGAGAGAGAGAGTGAGAAAGAGAGGATGGCGGGGAGGGACTCGGAGTGCTCGGCGTCGTCGTTACCTGGGTCTCCGGGACTGGCGTCCCTCATCCATATTACTCGCGGTCACTCGGCGCGACGCACGGCCGCACAAACTCGCGCTGATAATCATCACAATGCACGACAGCCATGTTTATCATCCGCGGGAGGGAGAGAGCGGAGCGGAGCGCGGAGCGTGTCCAGCGTCTCTCGTGCGTGCGCGAGCGATTGCGCGCGCGCGCGCGCATGTACGTGTATGTGTGTGTGTTTGTAGGGGTAAATAAAAGCGAGCGCCGCGAGCGGTAGTGGTAGAATGGGTAGATCGCGGTCGCGGCGCCTAACGGTGTCGCCGCCGCCGCCGCCGTCGTCGCCGTCGCGCGCGCTGCGGGCGGCCGCTCGAGAGCTCGAATCGAACGAATCGATCGCGCGCCGCCGCCGCGATTCACGTCAAACGCGACGTCAGACCGCGGACCGCTGTCGTCATCGCGCGTTGGCGCGCGCACCGTCGCGCCGCCGTCGCCGTGACGTTCGATCACTTCGATCATGACGACACGACGTGACGCCGACAATAGCGCTTGTTTACTCGGATATTAATGCGACCGCGATCCACAGCGAGACCGCGTAACCTCAGCGTCCAGAAACTCGCGTTACGTTTCGCGCGATATTTGTGGGAATTTTCGTCGCGACGGGCCACATTCGACGGCGATCTCTCTCTTTAGCGCTCGGTGATGCTCTCGGAACGGACGGAGGTGACGCGCCAATCGGCGCGTCGCAGAAAATCGTCTTGACAAGCGAACTGTTCGCTTGACGAGGGAAAAAGCGACCTTAATTATGTCATTTTAATATTAAAAATTATCGAATGAGCAGATGATAAAAACGCATTGAAAACCGGCCGTAGAATTGTTTATGTAACTTCGTTAGTTTGTGCTTTACATTTCTTTTTCACGTAATACATACTTTTTACAATTTCTTCATGTATACTGATGTAACTAATCAAGTTAACATAAACTTATATAAGTATATACAATCTTTTAAAAACAATTCCATAAAAAAATTTTCCCTCACCATTTATGCGCAAATATATATGTTAGAAAAGCAATGTAAAAAAAGTAGTATGTTATTGCAAAATGATTTAGAGCCTTGAGTTTGTTCCACCAGACACTATTATGGTTTCGCCAGTCATATAAGAAGCATCGTCGCTTGCTAGAAATGCAGCTACGCCTGCAATCTCATCTGGCATCCCGAGTCTTTGCATGCTGCAATTCATTTTGGTTATTTCGTGCGCCTCTTCCGTCTCGTACAACTGAAAACAGTAATTTATATGAGACATCCCTTTAGCATATCTTTAAGAATAAAAGTGCGTAACTTCGAAAGAATCATAGAAAAAATACCGCTTTTGAAAATTTAGTTTTTATCACTCCCGGCGCGATGCCGTTTATACGGATCCCATCATTCACAAGATCGATTGTAGTAGCTTTAATTAGACCTAACAAAGTAGTCTTGCTGATTGAATATACACCCAGTAACTGAAAGAACATTGATAATGGTATTAGTATTTTACTTAATGATATTAGTATGTTAATAGAAATTGTGTATATATTTAGCAGAAGAAAATATACATAGAAACCAATGCGTCTTCAATCGGACTCACGTTAAATGGCTGATATCCAGCGATTGAAGTTACAATGATAATGGAGGGTGATTTACCGCATTTGAGAAGCGGCAGGGACTCCTTCATCAGCAGGAATGTAGACTTGACATTAATGTCGAAAATCTTATCCCACAATTCCTCGGTGCAGTCCAGTACTGGGCAGACTATTGGATTAACGGCTGCGTTAGACACCAAAATATCCAAGCCTCCGAAGTCGGCTTTGGTCTGTAATTTTCAGTTTTACAACAATTACAACTCTAATTACTTCTCGATTTTTGCCAATAAAACAACTATACTTGGACGACGACTATACAGTCTATATAAATGGAAAAATTATCGAAATAAAGATGTAAACTTTTCTCAAAGTTTTATAACAATTACAACTTCTCGATTTTTGCCAATAAAACAATTATACTTAAACGACGACTATGCAGTCTATATATGGAAAAAAATTATCGAAATAAAGATGAAAACTTTTCTCAAAGAGAAAGCGAGACGATTTGTCATTTATATCTCTTATAATTATACCTTTTCAAGCAGATTTTTCCTGTCTTCCGCCTTTCCTACGTGGCAGACGGTACCAGCGACTTGCAAACCCTCGGACTTGAGTTCCTCTACGACCCTCTTCACGTTCGATTCCTTACGGCTACTGATCATTACCTTGGCGCCTTCCTGCGCCAAGCGTTTCGCTATGGACAAGCCTATGCTGTAAAAATTCAAAACATAACCTAAGCGCAACGTTCAGAACCAATTAAGATGAATGTAATTAATTGATTTCCCGTATTAAACGAGAAAGAATAACAAAAAGAATTTCATTCGAACGAACGTCGGCATATTGTGCTGCAGAGCGTTTAAATTTAAAAATGTTAAAAAAATGAAATATTAATTCACATTACCCCTCTGTGGATGCCGTCACGATCGCGACTTTTCCTTCCAGCCGGTTGCATTTTACCGAGGAAGGTGCGTTGGCACTGAATTTTCGGACACCCTGGTTGATCGTCGTACGCAACATCGCAAAAGATGACAGACAGGTACGTTTAACGTTGTGCACTATCATCACTGCACGCCGGAAGAGACTTTGATCTTTTGGAATTCATGCAATAGATTTATATTGGCTGCGTTCCGCAAAGCGCATCATGCGCATGATGTATCATGGTATCCTTGTTGTTCACCAAATGTTAAACAAAGATAAAAAGATAAATCTTGCGCATGATGCGCTTTGCGGAACGCAACCATTGATATCTCCGTCTCCGTGTATCGCTAGATATACGGAGGTGACACAGCACCTTTTACTACGTGTGATATATAATAGAGAAAAAAAATATTTAATTCATAAATATATATATATATATATATATATATATATATGTTTTACAAGCTGAAAAAAAAATATATAACTCATATATTATTATTATTATTTTATATATATATATATAACTTTCGTTGCATAATAAAATTATAGATCTAATTATTAAAATATAAGAATTTCATGATTTATTTTTTGCAAGCTTTAATATATTACAAAACACTTTATGTATATACAAAAATAATTATACTAATTCTCCGCAAGCAGTTATGACGACCTTTTGTGTCGGCGTGCCTGCTTTCGTTCCACACTTTTCAACCTTTCGAACTACATCTAATCCGCTGAGGACATGTCCGAAGACAACGTGCTTTCCGTCCAGCCAGTCCGTTCTGGCTGTGCAGAGGAAAAATTGCGATCCGTTCGTGTTTGGGCCAGAATTGGCCATCGACAAGGTTCCCGGGCCCGTGTGTTTCAATTCGAAATTCTCATCGTCGAACTTGTTGCCGTAGATCGACTTTCCGCCTGTGCCATTGTGATTCGTAAAATCACCTCCTTGACACATCTGTGATATTGCAGGCGTTAAGGATTTTTATTTAAAGTTAAAAATGAAGGTAAATAGAATTATCTGAGATTACCGTTTTCAAATGGGATAAAAAATATACATTTGAAGGATACAAAATCTGGAATAATCCTGTGCAAGGTGCTGCCCTGATATCCGTAGCCCTTTTCGTGCGTGCAAAGTGCTCGAAAGTTCTCTGCGGTCTTCGGTACAATATCCGCGCGTAACATCATGATAACTCTGCCCACTTCTTGCTTTCCTATGCTTATGTCAAAGTAAACCTGAGGATTCTGCTTCGCCTTCTTCGGTTGCGCAACCGAATCATTTGTCTTTGCGCTGTCGTCATTTTTCAACGTCTCGCCGGCGTGCTCTTGCAGCCAAGTGTCGTCCGCCCATACCGGCTTCGATGAGCCTTCCTTTATCTTTTGCGGCTTAGCGATATTTACCCTTATTGTCCGGCCAAACAATTCCGAGTCGTTCTGTTAATCACATTGTAGATTAATTTTGATAAATTATCACGCTAATAAACGTGAAGCGACGTGTCACGTTGCTTTTTACGTGCGCTTAACGATAAGAAAAATGACAAAGATAAGAGAAAAAAAAAGTTCGATTTATATAAAAGGAAAATATTAATGCTCTCTCTCTCTCTCCCCCCCTCTCTCTCTCCTCTCTCTCTCTCTCTCTCTCTCTGTCCGTTAAGTGACTCATTTTAGGTAAAAAAGCTATCAGTGACTTTTAAGAGCTGACATTATCAATGAATGATTCAAAAAATAAATACTCTGCAACAACAAAGTCTAAAGAATTCTCGATATCAGATCATTGCTATCAAATAATTCGCCGATGTTATTAATGCCTTTTCACAAATATACCATGTTATCTATAGCGGCGGCTGCATCCTCTGCCGTTTCAAATTCAATAAATGCGAATCCCCTGTGCTTTTCAGACTCGTAGTCCAATGGTATTTGAACATCAACAATTTCTCCAAAGGGTATAAACGCCGCGTGTAACACCTTTTCATCGACCTCTTCGGCTAAACCACCTGAAAAAAAACAAGAATCAAATTATTAACCTGAACGATAACTTACCACATAATATTTCTTACAATTATTATAGCAAGTTATTATAGCAAAAGCTATTTTATATAAATAAATAAGTCTTTTGCACTTAACATTTAATGTGACCTCGACGAAACTGCGATTAATTTAATTAAACTTCAATTAATATTTTAGTTATTTTATTTTTTATTATCATTTTTATATTTTTATTTATTTTTTCGATTAGTTATTAAATACTTGACAAGTTTGCCTCGATAGGCAAACTTGGCAAGTAATTTAATAACTACGATATTTTATGAATGGAGTGAAAAGTAAAGAAACATGAATGAAATTATCAATTTATTGTTGCTTGGCACAGGGAGAGAAAATTTAGTTTAGAAACGAAGAATTATACAGTCAGAAATTTTGCTGTAAGCTATTATGTTGGTTAAATTATTCGGAGTTTGATTGTTAACCCTTGGGATTTTAGGGTTAGGTCACGCTCCGCATGAGTTTAGGTGCGTCAGTTGATATTCTCGACTATTAATGCATATACGTTAATGCATATAGAAAATTTAATTTAAAGACGAAGAATTATACAGTCAGAAATTTTGCTGTAAGCTATTATGTTGGTTAAATTATTCGGAGTTTGTTAACCCTTGGGATTTTAGGGTTAGGTCACCCTCCGCTCATGAGTTTAGGTGCGTCAGTTGATATTCTCGACTGTTAATGCATATACGTGCCTACGTAGATGGTCCGCTTCGTGTTGCCGCTCATGATTGCCGTGACGAGCTTCGTTGTATCTTTCAGGCGTGATCCCAACACAACAAAACAGGCAAGCCCGATAACGAGCGTATTGACAGAGGGACGCCGGCGCGTCGGCAGTCACGGCCGCTGTTTACCGCCGCCGAGGATTTATAAGTCGAGCGCGATGCGATCGGCAGCGAGAGGACGTCGCTTACATAAGCTCGTTCTGTCAATCGCGCTTTCAATTGACAGCGTTACTCGACCGGTCGGACGTTAAGTGAGCCAGCGACGCGCAGTACCGTCGTCAAATTAATATAACCTGTTGAAGGTAAGCGTTACTGATGCGTTGCGTTTAAAACCAAAACAACGTTGTGTTTAAATTAGAAATAGATCAGGAATTAGAGATAGATTAGAAATTAGAGATCTGCGATTGTTGAAGCGTGTTGTTTCGCACGCGCGTCACGCGTGGAAGGAGAAGTGTAATCGCACACGATTATTGTATTGATAAGCGCAATTTGACATATATATCATACATGAGGAAAATGTAGATGAATGAAGTTTAAATCAAGGGGTCGATTGCGTATCTTGAAACGAGGTGAAAATTACAAAAATGAGCAAATTCACTAGATACTGGCCAATGAAATTAAAAATATTCTGCTGAATTCGCTCACTTTTGTAATTTTCACCTCGTTTCAAGATACACAATCGACTCCCAGAGTGAGTGTAACATAATTTATACAGGGTGTTAAAAAAAAATTTTTAACATTTACATGGTAATGCTAGAAAATAGCCACCGTGTGCTGAGTAAACAAAAATCTTAGTGAACATGATAAGTTGAAGTTGACTTAATCATTTCTGTGAATTCTGTGATATAAACATTTTTGTTAGCATCATGAATGACTTACTTCTATGTGTTGCAGAGTTCTATGTGTGATATTTATCTGTATTTACCTCAGTATTATATGAATCGCATTGTGTACAGTCATGGACACATCGGTTGCGACACTTTCTTTTTTATAGGTTTCAAAACGCACTAATATTTTGCAAATGTGGCCACGATTGGCGTTATACTGTCTCTAGACTAAAGATAGTACATCGTGGTTCGCATTTGCAAAATATTAGTTATCTATAAAGTATATATATATATATTATGTATATTAAATATATATTAGAAACCTATAAAAAAAGTGTTGCAACCGATGTGTCCACGACTGTACATCCTCATTCAATTTTTTTCCATACCTACTTCATGTAACAAAATGGTAATTTCACCAACAATCAAGCACAGCTGTTATCAACCATGTGATTGCCAATCTACATGTTATTTGTTGATTACACATTTATAAGGTATCATGCTAAAAATGTTGATGTATTTTCAAGAAATGACAGATATACCTTTTTTTTGTGTATGATTGTGCTATGAAAATCATAATGATGCTTTTGTTGCTTTTTTACGACTAACATGTACAATTAAAATGCTAACATACAAAAATGTTTATATCTCAGAAAGGCTTTCGACCTATGTTCACTGAGGTTTTTTTATTCAGTATGGTATGTACTAGCTATGTACCATAAAATATAAATTATATATAATTTCATGCCAATATATAAATGCTGAATGGTTTTCTTGAACACGCTGAATATATTTTCAGTTGTATCCAAAGATTCCTGTCTCTATTGTTTAATTCTATTCTTCTCTATTGCGTCCTCTTCTTTACAGAATACGTCTGGCCACTTGCGAGAGAATGCTCAGGACAAAATTGTTACAACGGTACCTGTCGCATCACGTGCCTTTGAGCTGCCGAGCGATGCATCTCCTGAGGGATAACGCGTACGTTAATGGGAGCTGGATAGGCGCCAGTGACAAGCAGATATTTCCCATTTACAATCCAGTTGACAATACCATCATTGCTCATGTTCCTGATATGAATGTTGCCGACACTCAATTAGCCGTCGATGCTGCTGCCAAAGCTTTCGAGTCGTTCAGCAAGACCACGGCCAAAGAGAGGAGCGATTTGCTGAGAAAGTGGTACAATCTGATGGTCGAGCACTCCGAGGACTTGGCTCGTATCCTGACCAAGGAGAACGGGAAGTCTCTCGACGAGTCCAGAGCGGAGATCAAGTATGGAAATTCTTTCGTCGAATGGTTTGCGGAGGAGGCTAGGAGGATAGAGGGTGAGGTGCTGCAGGCACCCGTGCCGAACAGAGAGTTGCTTCTGCTGAGACAACCAGTCGGTGTAGCTGCCTTAATCACGCCGTGGAACTTTCCGCATGCTATGATCACCAGGAAAGCCGGCGCCGCGCTCGCCGCCGGCTGCACCTGCGTCATCAAGCCGTCCGAGGACACTCCGCTGACGGCGCTGGCGTTGGCGGATCTCGCGGAACAGGCGGGCTTCCCCGAGGGGATCTTGAACGTGCTCACCACGAGCGTGACGAATTCCGCCGCCGTTGGCAGGGAGCTGTGCGAAAATCCAAAGATAAGAGTGTTATCGTTCACCGGCTCCACCGCCGTGGGGAAGATCCTGTACAGGCAGTGCGCCTCGACCATGAAACGGCTTGCCCTCGAATTGGGTGGTAACGCGCCGTACATCGTATTTAAATCCGCGGACGTAGATCTAGCTGTGAACAGCGCCATGGCCAGTAAATTTCGCAATGCCGGTCAAACATGCGTCTCGGCAAACAGATTTTTCGTAGAGGCGGACATTTTCGACGAGTTTGTTAAGAAGTTCGTGGCGAGAATCGACAAGGATATCAAGATGGGAGACGGCAGTAAAGAGGACATCACTCACGGGCCGCTTATCAAGAAAAGTCAATTGGATATGGTAAGTGGTCTGGTGAAGGACGCGGTTCAGAAGGGTGCTAAGGTACATTGCGGCGGAAGTCCGTTACCGGATCTCGGACCGTTGTTTTATGCGCCTACTCTGTTGACCGACATAACTAAGGACATGGAGATTTACAACAAAGAAATCTTCGGGCCCGTAGCTGTTATCAATAAATTTCGTAGCGAGGAAGACGTGTTGAGGCAAGCCAACGATACGCCGGTTGGTTTGGCCGGATACTTCTTCTCGCAGGACATATCGCAAATATTTAGAGTCGCGCGTAAATTGGAAGTCGGTATGGTGGGTGTCAACGAGGGATTAATTTCATGCGCGGAGGCTGCTTTCGGTGGGGTGAAGGAATCCGGCTTAGGAAGAGAAGGTTCTAAGCATGGGGTTGACGAGTTTCTTGATATTAAATATGTATGTTTTGGCAACCTTAAATACTGATACAAAATGCATTTTGAACAATATATATATCACTGTTATGTTTGATAATAGTTGCTGCAAACCAAGAATAAACAATAATAGGCTACATAGTTATATATAATAATAATCTAATATATAATAACAAGAAAAAACTACAATTTTACAGTGTTCTAAGTGACTCTAATTTTTGGATATGATTATTTATATGTAATTCTATTAATTTTCTTTTAATAGAAGTTTTTTTTTTTATTATGATTAGTTATGTAAGTTCTTGTAATAATAAACATTGAAAACAATTTAATTTGAATTTTTAAAACTCAAGCAGCTTTATTTTAATTTGTATCATGTACATTTATTAAAATTTATACTTAACAATTTCTGTTACTGTATATATGCGTTTATTAATATTAAGCGAGAGATTATTAATATTATACCGGAGAGAATATTAAGTTTCTTTAGTGCAATGTATAATTTAATTATAATAGTATAAAAGTATCGTTTTTATATTTCATTTTACTAATCTGTTTTTCCTATGTTATAGATTTTATATTCTTTATATCACATATATAACACGTACAGTACAAAACAAGTCTTCCAAATTTTATAAATGGAGTACAATATATAAGAAATATTTAAGAGAAGTATGGATACATTTTTCTTCTTACATTTATCTATATTTTCCCATAGATATTATATATAGATATTATATACTTTAATTGAATATCGTTATTTCTATGAATTACGGGAGGAACTCTATGGAAAATTTTAGACAGTATATAAGAATAATATGAGATATATAGATATATACAAATCATATAATGCTATCATTTATGCTATTATAATTACATAATTATAATAATTATAAATATATAGATTTTAAGTCCATGTATCAGCTGTTACATAGGTATCCCCATACTTTTCTCTACTTACATTAAATCTTTTTGTCCTACGTATTCTTTTATGACCTAATTGTCAATAACAACTCTTAGTAGTTGTTATATATTGATAATAATTAAGTATCAAAAATGATATGTCCAAATTCATTTAAAGTTTCATTAAAAAGAAAAATTTCGTTAGATTCACTTATACTTTAACATTTAATTTAACAAAACCATGTTCGTTCATTTACAACTTAAAAATTATAAGTGAGATTATTAAAAAAAAATCTTTACAATATATATAGTATAAAAAAATCATTTTTATATTGAAATTAGTATAAATCTCTCTATATTGAAAATAATATAAATTTTTTTGGCCTCGTATATACAGTCAAAAAAAGTATGGTGTGTACCTGTGACGTTTCGTTTATCTACAATGAAACAATTGATAATCCGATACAAAAGTCTTAATCTTCCAGCTGCTCAAGCACGTAATTCCGTTGGTATGATCGATATATATATATATATAACTGCGTTATATAATACACAACTGATAATATGCATTATAAAAATGACAATTTCTTTCCGTGAATTATTGCTTATGATTATAATGGATAGGTATTTGTACAATTACGTGTGATCATATTTTAGAAATAAAGATGTATTCACATGAAGTAATAGTAAATATAATACATGAACAGTAAAACATGTTATATAGATGTTATTATAATGACAGTGTTAATAACCAGAATAAAACGGTAGTAAGAATGTCAGCAATTTGTCAGTCCATGTTTTTTAATATACCTTTCCCTGGCCTCTTGTATCATTTTAGCTTTCTTTTCTTGGAAGGAAGTGGTACCCAATACCTTATCTTTCGCGGAGCTTGAAGATCCACTGGACGATGTTGCAGACGATTGAGCTGGCGGATCAGGTTCTGGAGTGTAAGTAACTATGCCATCGAGAATATTGGCGATCGTAACGTCAACATTTCGAGTTTTCACTGTGACAAAAAGATCGAAAGAACAGAATTTAGTGATTGCTATTGTGTTACAAAAAAAAAGCGCTACGATCACGCAGAAAGATTAATGAAATTAAATCAAGATTTCAGACAATGATATATATATACGTACTGAGATCTCGCAGAATCACATTGGGTGGAACCAATGGAAGTACTTCGCTGACTTGACGGACCATCCTCTGTATTTCTATGTTATGTATAACTTGCGAGTTTGGCGTATTTCTGCTGGGACGCGCGTTACTGAGTATCCTCGTGCGGTAGCGCTTTTCGTATTCCGTCTTGTCCGACACAGTGTGAGAACATGTCTGTAGTCCCAGGGCGTCCGCGATATCCTTTTCTACTTCCCGCACAAGTATCTCGTGGTCAGAGTTTCGTCTGATTTTCAGGTACTTGAGTGTGAAAACTGTATAGGGCACGAACATAAACCAAAATACTTCTGTCAACCATGTCGAAGCCAGCGAGGTGAGATGCACAGGTACGAGCTCCGATCTTGACGCTTTGATGGCGACCGGCTGGACAGACGTTTCTATGCTAAACGGCCAGGAGTTGAATTTCAGCAAGGCGACCTGGCTGTTGGTCGTGCCGAACTCGGGCTGCACGGCCACGCTGTACGTGGAGGTTGACAGAAATTGCTTTATGCTGGCGATTAGCGCCTCCTTACTGCTCATATTCATTCTCTGTAATCCCAGCGCGTTACTCAGGGCAGCGGGCAGCTCCCAAACGCTGGGGATTAGCGTCTCCGACGCTCGACGCAGAGCGAAGTGATCCAGAACGGACACATTATTGGCGATTATTATCCTCGACTGTTTGTCCCTGGGCTCGCTCTCGGGATCGACTTTAACTACGATGCCAAAAGCGAGCCTAATGCCGAAAATTAGGAACGCTCGAAGAGAATCGCAGTCAGGTAGTAGCGACGCTAGAAGCCAGAATAGTAGTATCACCAACAGTCGCAGCAACACAAATACAAGTCCTATTGGCGAATATAAGATTACGAGTAGAAGGCGCCAACCGCTGGGAAACCTAAATTCATAAAATGTAATTGATTAAACTTTAATGCCTTGTACAAAGTTCGGGCGATAATTACGGTGAAAAGTAATCAAATTCTATTTGTTGTGAATCCTTTACAGTTGACACTACACGTGACAAGGAACAATAATTTTTCACTTATTACAAGAGAATCTCACACACTCTTGGTGGTTTTAAATCAACGTTTATGACGAAAATAATGCAACTGTATAATGATAGCCGTGCTCGGAGATTCTTCGCGATATTTGCGGAAAAGGATTGTCTCACCTGCTTTTGTTAAACAAATCCTGAATATCAATTTGTGACATCTCTTACAACAAACATCTGTCACATTTGAAGGTATAGTACTCGTTGCACGTATTTCCTTGTTAATGTCCAAACTGTTAAGTCAAGTGCCTCCAGGCAGCGACGCGGTTATTGTTCAGTCCTATTTTTCATATTACTTCTCAGTAACCTCCCAATTGATGCGAATTTTCCTTTTCGCCTCTTTCAACAATCAGCTGTTCCGCAGTAGCGTGAAGTGAAGACACTAGGGACTTTTTTCCCTCGGAGCGGGAATTTCAAGCGTCGTGCTCCAGTTAACCATTTCGCCAAGCTGTTCACCCCACGATTTAAATATAATTACAATTCGAAGGACTGATTCGAATAATCTATAATCGATGGCACGAAATTACGTAACGTAAGCCCAATCGACATATGTATTTTCTAACGATTTATCGTTTTATTACTCAAATAATATCATTAATCACTTAAATTCTGTAAATATACTCGCAAAATATATAATGTTTCATACAGCACTTACATAATTGCCTATTTTTCTCGGCTTAATAAGTTTCACACGTGTAATGTAATAAATATAATAGTTCGTTTTTTTTACCAAACGGAATTTATTTTTTCAACAAGTATAACATATTTTTAAGGAAACTTATATAGAGTTGAGAATAAAGAGTTGTCTAAAACAAAGAGTTGCATTTGAACGAGCATTGCAGATTACACGAGAGTTACATGACGAAAATCGCCGACTAACAGGAATATATTTTAATTTTCCACGACCGACAAAATCACCTTGTGTACCTTATGACAGTAAAAACTAAAGAAAAAAAAAAAAATAATAAATTGTCTCGCACAGCACCTTTCGTGTAATAACCAGGGGAATTCAGTATTTGGATTTATATTACTTAAGTGCGATATATAATATATCTATAATATTATTATTAATATATACACTGGTACATCACTTATACCTCTCATAACTTCATTCATGTATGCTACAAAAAATCCATATAAACCCATAAATTTATTTGAAACAATTTGCGGTTTTTTTTTTTAATGCTTTCAATACAGATATTTTCATATAGAATGTAAGAATAAATTTAAAAACAGATTCGTACAGACTCATATAGATGGGCTTTAAAACTTACTTTATACGTACGTTTGGAATAATATGAGCACGTTTGCACTTTGATTCTATCTATGTGCACTCGTTACGCGTAATGTGTTATAGAAAGCATGTATGTATGTATGTATGTGTGTATGTATGTATGTATGTATGTATGTATATATATATATATATTTATATAGAGCGTATTCTCTAGTCAGTAGGTTGAAAATAAAACTCGGAGCGCCCATAGCCATTGCCCCTACGCTTGTACATATAAAAGTGCACAGGAACAACTCCTCGTAAAATACGGGCTGCCGAGAAAGATTTCCTACAATCGTTATCTTACCTGAGGAAAGCGCCGCAAAAACATTTGCTTTCTTCCCGATCACGAAACACGTTCATATGTGTATGCGTATTATATAAGAATGTATACATGCATTTATCATAAACAATACAAGATCTGCATACGCACATATGGCCATGTGTATACACCTATCGTTTTCCGTCTGCCTCAAAAAATGACTTGAAATGTCACATTGCTATAAACATTTGTTCTAAATAGGTTTTACATGACATTCATCTCAGTGGGGATTGATTTTGTATTGTTGGTTTGTTCACTGTTGCTTCAGGGAGACTACATGGGACCCTCTATCAAACTGATCTTCATCGTGCAGTAGTAAAGGCTGCGGGCCAAGCACAGGATCGCCAGTAGAAATGCACCTGAAAACGTGAGCCGAAAATGTGACGGATGAACGAAATGAATTTTCGACACGGCGGCCGAATATCAAGTACGAAATTATCGAGACAAGCTTTCGTCGAGATCTAGGCTCGATTGCTTATACCTACCAACGTAAGCTACGTAAATTCCACCATTTACTTTTACATATTTATAGGTCCCGACCTGCAATTGTGTACGGCACAAAATTAATAACGTTACAAGAGATCAACCACTGGAGAACGAGAATTCCCGAGTGTTTGCACACTTACCGTTATCGCTGTAGCAATTACTAAGGCTATAAGCCCAACGATAATGAATACGATCCCTCTTCCTCTAGCGAAGTCTGGACCGACGGAAGATATCTTACGGCAATGTGGACATCGAGCCAGGGCGTTGTTTAACGTGTTGAACTGCGGAAGATGACATTACGACGGAGGGGTGAAAATCAGCGAAAAACAAACAAGCTTTGCCGGTGCATCTTTCTGGATGACTCACCAAGAATGTGTCATGGCAATGGGCACAGCCTACCCTGCACATGCCTGGCATGGACAGTACCGGCGGCGTGATGGGGCTCGGGGCCAGATTGATGATACGTTTACAATTTGGCCTGGGGCAGGCGATGCGCTGTGAGGAGCTCTTGCATATGAGCAGACAATTGCACGGACATCGCACGTACTTCTTTCCGGGCGGAGCGTTTCGTATGGGCTGCGTGAGAAAAGGGGGACACAGTGTGGTGAGATCAAACGCGACACCAGCGTCTGCCGCACGCAATTGCACAGCGGAACTGTGAGTGTCGGTCCACAATAAGGATTTTAAGCAGTAAGAAATAGACCAACCGTAGTTGAATATGAGGAAAATAATTGATTGCAATTAGTCAATATCTTACGGCTGTAAAGGCTTAAAAGCCTTACTGTGGACCGACACTACAAGAGACTTCTTCGGAAACGTACTGTGGCCTCGTTACACTGACAACACTTAACGACGTGCTGATCCCGCTTGCCGGAGATGTCTATCATCGCCTGACAGACCCTGCAGGTGACCATCGGCATACCGCCCTGGATAGCCGATTGGTACGGCGGCGGCAGCTCGTCCGGCCCGATCGTCGAGACGGTGTGCACAGTGGACTGCGTTTGCTCGTCTGAAATGAAAACACACACACACACAAACACATACACAAAGGGATAATTAGGATAAGGTGCATGTCTCCGACGAACGTTCCCCGGGCGATCGCACGGCGCGCGATCCTCGGGCACGTTCACGCGAACGCGCGTTCTCGCGAACGTGCGAGCGCGAGACAACGACGACGAGCTGCGGTCTATCATACCAATCGCATCGTTGCCGTGCGAGCTGTACGTGACGTTCTCGTTCTTCAGCAGCGGCTGCCGCTCGCCCTCCTTGCCGTCTCCCATGCCGAACGACGTTGGGAGAGCGATTCACTGCCACGGCACGTCGGACACGATTCGCTTCTATTGTTTGACAGAACAGCTCCCGGTGCATCGATGACAAGGATGACAAAATACGAATCCCCCCCCCTCCGCCCCGCCAACCCGTATCCGTGCCCGCGGCGTCGCGCGTACGCAGAGGAGAAACCGCGATTCTCGCCGCAAGCCTTCCTCCCTTCACCGAGAGAGAGAAAGCTCACGTTGTCCACGACGTTCGAAACAGGACGAATATATAGGCGTGGCGTTGGCGAGAGAGAGAGAGAGAGAGTGCCGGTAGGTCGAAATCGCGGCTGAGCCCGCGGAGCGGCGCAGGAGGGAGAGACGGACGTGGGATGAGTTTCGGAACGTCGCCGGCACTCTCGTTTTTCCTCACGTTGGCAGCGCTGCGTCGGATGTCAATATGAGGGGGATGTGAGTAATACACGGGGCACAACACATCGAGGGATTGGTTATACAACGAGGCTCGAGTGATTTTTTTTCCAAGACTTTAAGTACCCCAATTTTGATTTAATTCGCGCTGATTGTCGCGTAACGGTGGGAGCGAGAGACGGCGTTCGTGTCGTCTTTTCGCGACTTAGAGCGCGTCACCGGGGACCACGCGGCGAACCTTCGCGAATTGTTTTGCATGGGGTGGAGCGTGATCGGACACGATTAACGTGTGTAAACACACACACACACGGGAAAAACATTTGCCTCGATATCTCATAACAATTATGGAGACTGTTAAACATTTGTGGAACGTCAATCAGTTCGTGACGAAGCTGAAGAATCCGTTGGTTACAGACTTGCAGATATTTTACATGTAACTTCTCGCCTTTTATTGACATTTGTTTATAATAAATACGAAGAAATATATTGGACATATTAATAAATGATACCTCAATATTTTTATTATTATTAAATATTTTTAACAGACATGTGCATATTAAAATAATTTCGTAATTTTATCTTGACAATAAATTTAAATATTTTAGAAAGAGATAAATATTAATATAAATATTAATTGTGCTTTCGTATTCACATATATTCGTTAGCGGATTTATAAAAGGATTTTGTTTTAATTTTTATTAAAACCTTTTCAGGCAGAAATGTAAAAATCTCGGCAACAGCGTGGAGTTGCCACAGCAGAATTTTGGACCATCGGTAGCGTGTTCGCATTGTGGATCACTTTGGAGTACGGTGGATCATCAAGTTCGATTATCAAGTGGCAAAAAAATGTCTAAATCGGTGAAAAAGATTGTGCGACACATGAATGAAAATCCAAGTCAAAAGATCCCAAAAGCTCGCGCAACTTTGGCTCGGAAATCTGTAAAAAATGAGATGAATAGATTGGTCATTAAATGTTCTGTCTGTTCCAAGAACACTGAATTGCCGTTCAAGAAGAAAAGCCGCTTAAAGCCAGCTAAGTTGAATAATTCACCGACAGAGACACCGCAGAGTAACCGTAAAAGGAAAAAGAAGAAATCCAAGGACAAAACTGCTGGTTTAAATATCTCAGGTTGCACGCCTGTATCACAATTGAACAAGAAAGATAATAGTAAAACACCTACAGTGTCGCCTGTGATCACGCCTAAAATAATTGCAAGTAACAAGAAATTATCTATTTCCCCTAAAAAGTCCAAGAAATTGAATATAGAGCGATTGAAACGTATCATGGAGAATAAGACAACAACACCAAAACGAAAGAACTTACACAATTTTTTAGCCGAGTTGTATTGAAAACAAATATTTTATGCAATATGTAAATATTGTAAATATTTTTGCACAATATAGAATAATATTTTTAATAAATGATTAAAAAACGATGTCTGAATTTAATTATTAGAAGAATTAATTATTAGAAGAATTTAATTATTAGAATTAAAAAAATCTGATATCTGAATTTAATTATTAAAAGTATAATTAGTATAATTTCAAAATTAATGTCTTTCTCTCTAAGATATTAGGATATGGAAATGGATATGGATGGATATATCCGTTAAAAAAAACTTTTATAATATAGCTTTTATTAGACTTCTAAGTTAATAAACTGAGAAAGTTAATTTTAGTTATTCTCTAATTGAAAAATAACTATTATTGAACCGCTCGCGGTTTAAAATATAAATTTTCATTACAAGTATTTTATTTAGACATTTTTAAGACGCGATTAAAGTTGCTATAAATATGATTTTTACTAATTAAGACTAGAAAGAAGGAATTCTCATGAATACTATGATTTTTTTTTTAATTAAATCGTCTATTTCTTGGAAAACGGTAATATAAAGCAGAAATAAATATATCATTTTCAAACATTAATTATATAACTCCCATTAATAATTACTCTATCCATCAAGAAGTAAAGAAACATTCGATTGCATCATTACATTTAACTCGTTAACAAGTAGAACACGTAGAGATGAACACTATTTCTTCTTGCTGAATGTTTGCGAATGAGACGTTGAATTAATATATAAATCGCATCGTGCCACGTCGAAAAGTAAACAAGTTTTTGGCATTATAACTAAGTGCTGTCCGTACTGCACTACTCCTGTGTTCTGTGGTCCTAACATTTTCACTTCGTGGGCTTATGGTCCAGGCAAATAAAATAAATACACTACACAATATACGGTCTGTCGCTCTTATGGCTTTGGATACACGCGCGTCCGTTTCTTTTTTTTTCTGAGATTCTCCTCCGCAGTCACTCCAGTGGAATCTCCTGCTTTACGACCTGCAACATCGGAGTATACTTTATGCACGGTGAAGTTGTAGAATTTTAATGTATTCCCGCGGCACATACCTCGCTCGTATACCTTATTTACTTCGATATCCGCATAAAAAAGGCAACTCACACAGGATAGGGAAATCGTTATTTACGCAATGGGAAGCTGCGAACGGCCGCGCGGATCCCGACGATGTCGGAAATTAAATTTTTATTTTGCTTTAAATAATAGCGCATATAAGCAGCATATTCGACAGAATTCTCTCAATTTTCAGAAAAAGAATTAATATCAAAAATTGACGAATGAAATGAAATGTATCATGTTTAATCAATCCAAATTCGTAATGTATACGTATAGAGTACTTAAATATTTTTTCTGTGGAGTTATGCAAAAATGTAAATTTAACTGTTTATGCGAGATTCATTAATATATTATCTTGAAACTTCGCCAAGAATTTATACAGAAAGAGAGATCAGTAACTGGAATTGACGTCATAGATCAAAAATACTTAATATTCAACATAAAATTTTAATTTAAACGTTTTTTATTATATAATTATTTCTATTTTATCATATAATCTTTATTTTCTAATTCTGTTTTTACATATATTGATGTCGAATTAATTAATTAAATTTTGAATATGAAAGTGTCCGCTTTGACGCATTTTAATTCGTATTATAAATCACTTTTCTCTAATTTCTGTTTACTTCTGCAGACTGGTTAAAATAAAATTTTATTTTACAAAAGAACAGAATAGAAAAGCATTTTCTTTAAATATGGAGAACAATTCCACGAGTTATATAAATTGTAAATTGAATTTCATTTAGAATAGATCCTGATCATTAATTTTTTTCCAGCTCATCTATTCTTCATAGTGCGCTCCGAAAGAGTATATAAGTACCGAGCAGTATCGCGGGACATCGACAATGTGAGGTGCGGCCGCTCGATAATGTCATTCAGCAGCAATTTATTCACTTTTACGATTTTCGGCCGGAATGTCTCGTGCACGCAGGAATTCTACTTTCATGCACAACTGCTGTGTTAATTCGGTCAGTGGGTCGCGGCAGGAGGTGCGAGGAGGAATCGAAAGAGCCGGAGGAAGAGGCCGGTGGCGGTGGCGGAGGAGAAGTCAAGGGAGGAAGAGGAGGAGGACGTGGAGGAATCGTGTTAGTCACCTGAATGCAAGCCTCGAGGTAATCCCGCTCGGACATTTCCTGGTCCTTCGCAGGGGGAACTTTTCCCCGTCGGCGCAACTCTTGCTTGGCGTCGTTCAAGTCAAAGATCGCCACGGGGTCCAACCTGCCCTTGAGCACCAGGCCCGCCAGGTACTCAATGTAGTGCTGCCTGCGGGGGAAAAGTACCCAAGATTTTAGTCATGCCCACGGCACGCGGGTCTCCCCCGCTTGCGCTTTACCTCGACCAGGTCGTTCTTGTAATGCTCCGGGTCGCGCCCGTACCAGTTCGCGGGCAGTTTCAGCCCGGCGCGTCGCACGCACGTTTCGAGATCGTCCACGTTTAGCAAGGGCAGCGGTTCCAGCTGCGTCAAACGGATCTTTCGAACTAGATACTCGACGTAATGAATCCTGGTAGATACACGGATGATCTCGTTAGCGATCGACTGGAGAAGGGGAGGGGAGGAGGGATGAGGACGCGGGGGTATAGCGAAGGGTGGCGGCTTCGCTTGCGAGACCGATCGAGAAAATGTCTGGAATCGCCGCGAGATTGGGAGCGATACCCCCAATATACTCGTGCGTGAGCGAAATTCTAACCGCCGATCGGCGAACGCATCGTGGATTGTACCATTCAGAATCTCTAGCGAGACTGAAGGAAGTTTTGATTTGGAAGAATTACTGAAGTAACTTTATTTGATACGTGAAACTATTTCCATTAATATAGTTTTTCGGTTATTCGTAAAAAAAAAGAAACATTTCAGTAATTATAATCTTGACTGATTAATTTCTGTAAGAACTTTTAACAATCTGTTATCACTTATAATTGTTGAAATGGATGATTCTCGAAATAGATTTCCAATTTTTGTCTTTTAACTTTATATAATCTATGATAATTCAGTTTTTAATTTTATAAATAAATTTGTTAACGATACGTATTATCGCGAATATCATTCACCACGATACCACGGCGAAGCTTACCTGCACAGACCAGCGTGGTTCTCGACGATGTCGGAGTTGCACACGGCGTCCACGACCCCGGTCGGCGTTTCTTTCTGCAGTTGCACCTTGCACCTGCGTTGTCCGACCGGACCCTCGGTGTCGTAATCGATGCTGTTCTCTCTGAGCAACTGCTGCAGCTGCACCGGCTCCTTGTCACGGAGGTAGAAGAGGCAGTTGCGCGGATGATGGGCATGTAGGCCCAGTTTCGCGCAATAAGGGCTGACCGCACATTTCGCCCCCATCATGAAAGCCTTGCCGCAACCGCAGCAAAACTCATATTTACACTGGCTGCACGTGAAATGCATGCAACCTATAAAAATTCACGAGCCCTCTTTTTTTTCAGCGAGCTTCGAAAAATGTTCCTGTGATATGCATATCGAATAATTTAAAAAAAATATCTCGCCCCATATTTTAAACTCATCCCGAGATCGATAAAAAAAAAAATAACGTGGTATTAAAATTGTTCGCGTTTATTAAGATAATATTTGGAATCAACATTCATTAATTCTTATATTACCATATTGTTTTTATAAAATAAAAACCCCCTATATTTGTATCTGTAATTTTTGTATGATAACAAATTTGTTTTCGAAAAATTTAACGTCACAAAGAAAGAAGAATTATGAAGGAGCAATTTTTATACGTAAAAGATGCAAATTACACTTGACTTACAGTTGAGAATTAAATGATAAAATCTCACAGTAAAGAATCAAATTGTAATAAAATAATAAATAATAAATTGTAATAAAGTAATAAATTGTAAATAAATAAAATTATCTTTGCAGTAAAATATAATTATTACCTCCTCGAGACAGTGAATAACGGAACTTGCACTTAGGACAGTCGATGCCATTGTCGGCCAAATGTTTAGCCAAACCTGCGGCTTGATTGTCGGGATCATTCTCGTCCTTCCAAGCGGCAAATTTCTCGCATGAGATACCCTCGTGTTGTTTTTCCCACTAAAAATAGAGAATGTTAATAAATAAGTTATTTCTTGTTTATAACATATTTTGGAATTATGAACGTGCTTTACACCTACCGGTCTTCGGCAAAAAGCACAGGTGACAGACCGACAATCGGGACAGATTAAACGCTTGTGATCAGGATCAGCGTAAAATCCGCTTGAACACTGGAAAATAATAAGTCGTTATTTTTCTTTTCAATAGCGGAGTCTGAAGATTGCAGTTAAGTATGTAATTACCTGAATGCACCACTTAAAATTCGGATCTTGCATCAGAGTCCGATCTCTGAGCTTCCTCTGGAAGAGCTCGTGAATCGGCGGATCCAGCAGGGTCTTCAATTGGATGTCCAAATTGCTGAAATACTCGAGAACTTCGTCCTCGCTCGCGTCCTTGAGATTAGGTTCCTTGCAGAACGGACAAACGGCATCTGTGATATTCCTGTCGCTGATCTGAATAGTGAAGTAGTTCTTCGCGCATTCAATGCAGCAGCGATGTATGCACTTCAGCATAGACACTATCTATAATCGAGAAAAACATCGACAGATAGAACAAGTAGAATTAAAAAATGACGAAATACGCTTTAGTTTTTGCTGATATATCTCTTAATTATTCTAATAAAATAAGATAAAACTTTTTTATAAAATAAGATTCGCGCGAAGATGAATAAATCCGAATAGAAATTTAAAAACACGGACGTGTTTTTATCGAATTTTCTTTCCGAAGTTTAACAAGGAGTTACTTTTCGCAGTTTTACTTTAATTTTCCAGATTTCTCGCGACAATTGGACACTCACTTGACTCATCGCAAAACGACCGGTGCACAGCTCGCACTCCTGCTGCAAGAAGGCCAGCGCCGACTCCACGCTGGAGCACTCTTTCGCGGCCTGGAGTGCCTCGGCGTCCCCGAACTTGAGGGCCAGCAAACTCGCGGCGACCTCGGCCTCATCGTAATTCGCGGCTCGACCCTCCGCCAGGAGACGACGCGCTATTCTCTGCACACGTGACGGACATAAGATTGCTCCGATATCGGCACGTACGAAATTTCCACATATCGTATAAAAAGGGAATCTTAGCTTCGTTTAAAAATCTCGACCTAAGGTGGAAAGCTTGAGATCTAACTGTTTATCAATGTATATATATGGACCAATTACAACAAGTCCGTTCGTAATTGTTACAACGTAAAGCAACATTTTGGAAATTATGGAGAATAATTGTGCAATATCGACATTTCCTTTGCGTATGATTCACGTCTAAATTCAACAGATGAATTAAAAAAAAAAATAAAATAAAATACTCTGTTGCTCATTAATTAAATCAACAATTAAAAATATTTTGAAAGTAGGAAATTAAAAATATTTGTCATGCAAGAGAAGAGGACGTAGACCGCGCCAACGTCTAGAAACGAGCTCTTTTTCATTTGGCAAATATAAGAAACATATTTTGAGAAACATAAGTCTCAGCTGAAACTTCGATATTCATCTATTGCTGACAATGAAGTGATTAATTCATATATTTATAATCGATATATTTATATATGCTTATGTATATATAGAACGCCTTGAATGTTTTACGCTTAAAATGGGAAATATATTTAATATACTCTATTTCCTAAGTAATTAAACACCACTTAGACACGCACTTTAGAAGGTGTGTAACATTTCTTTTCTCGACGGACAAATGAATTAGTCACGGCACAATACTTACCTTCGCGTTAGTCATACGACTCATCATAATTAAGTGATTAACCCAATTAACGCGCGATTTAAGACATTGAGAGAACACCTAACTGTTGCATTCGATCCCCTTTCCCACCCACTTGGCATTTCGAGCTGTTTGTAGACATTGGCCTGCCGACGGCGGGAAAGGCCGGTTCTTGGCGGTTCTCGAACACATTCGCGCGGACTTTTTGGCAACTGACGTTTCTACGAGGGGGGTCGTGTGTCACTTGGTAACACTCGTCTACTGACCTCCCGCTCCGTTTTGGGAGATCCCTGTCTCTTGCGCCTGATGCTCTCCACGATGCTTGCCCTCACGGCATTCTCCTCGCCCTCGAACTGACGGATGCAACTGGCCACGAGGGAAAATCGTTTCTTGGGCGCTCGCGCCCGATCCACCCCCTTTAACGTGTCATCTTTCTCGATTTTGACCTCTTTACTCCCCGTACTCGCCCTCCGGCCCGCCTTCACGCGTTTTTCTCGTGACTCCTCACTCGTGACTTTCAATGTCTTTATCGTATCGTTTTGCACTGTCGACTGATCTCTCCCCTCGATTTCACTCGCATCTTTAAACTTTATCTCGTTCTTCTTCAAATCGTTAACTTGTGACCGGATATTTTCTTTAGAATCTATTTTCTGCTTGATTTTCGCTGAAGACGCTGCGGCTGAATCTGTTGCAGCAATGTTAGAATCTGCTTCAAGTTTCTGAGAAATTTCTAATGTCTTTTCATTAATTCCCGCATTTATTTCCGGTCGAGGTAATTCTACGACCGCAGTAGCAGCTTCCGTTGGTGCCGTCAAATTGTTTTCTTTATCTCCTCGCGTGACCTGAGAATTACTCTCCATTCTGTTCGGAATGCTGGCTTCGTGGTCACTGATCGTTTCATTGTGCATTACATCATCGGTCTCTTTATCAAGCGCTTCAAATTGTCCCGAAGTTTCGACTTGTTCATTCGTCTCTTCCCCTTCGGACGGTAATTCTTCATACGCATCTTCCTCCACCGAATCTTCCAGCTCACTTGACTTGATCTCCCGTTCGTCGACCGAGCCTTCCGACGATGTGGAATCACGATCGTGACTCTCCGTCTCGTACGAATAAGTGACGTCCTCACTTTCCTCGGATTCGCTCGTGCACTCTTCTTCCTCAGACTCCGATATTTCAGATCTTATCTCATTTAGCGTTTTCTCCAACAACAACTCCGCGTCCGTGAACTCCTCGACGGAATTGTATTCCGAGTTATGATCAGAAATGTACTTCGCCGTTCCTGTGTCTTCGTCCTCTTCAGAACACTCGGAATCGGAGCTGAAAGCATCGGAGCTTTCCTCGATTGCGTTTTCGACTTCCAATTGTTTGCCAAGATCCGCGGACGGATTGTTATGCGCCGAGTTCGACGCTTGTGAATTCTCGTTTAATTCCGATTCTATTGACTTAACTTTCGGAGGTTCTTTGGTTTCTTCATTTTCCACGGCACTCGCTTTAGCATGATTCTCCTCCAAGATTTGCTTGTCTTTCACATTTTCTGTAATTTCAATTGCTCTTCCGTTACCAGATTTAATTTTATTTCTCCTCAGTTTGTTAGTATCCTTAGAATCAATTTTCCGCATGGTTGGCGGGTCCGATACGTTAGCGCTTTCCGGAATTTTTAATGATAATTTCGAAATTGCTTGCGACATTACGGGCAATTTAGTCGATGCGTTCTTTAATGAAGACTGAATGTCATTTATTTTAGAAGAGTTCGACGAAGCACTGTCTACTGATTGCGCGATTTTTCGTTGCATTAAAACGGGTATTTTTGATGGTAATGACGTTTTAGGTTTTAAATTATCTTTCTCTATTTTTATTAGAACTTTGTTATCAGGGATTTTTTTATTTATCTTCTTTGTTGCTTGATTTTCCAAAGCCTCCGCTTTTACATTTTTCGAGCTTTCCGAATTTTTATTTTGGACATCTTCAATATTTTTGTTTTTAGGATATTCCAGCGTTCTCTTTTTAAAATTTTCCGATTTATTTCCATTATATTTTTTAACAATAGGCAATTTAGTTTGCGGTTCGAGATTGGTCGCGTTATTGACTATCGATATTTTCTCTATATCGGACGTAGAAACCTTTCTATTATCATTCACTTTAATATCACCCGCAGCTTTTTGCACGCTGATGTTACTTAACGACTGTTTAACAGTTTTGTCTGATTTTTTTGCAACTGACTTGTCCCCTGTCTTATCGCTCGCGATACACGTGGGCTTTAGGAGTTCTTTAATTCGCGATTCATCGAACTGCATCGCTCGACTCGACCTTTTAGTAATCTCGCCGGCCGTTGCTTTCGCTTTTGTGACGGTCGTATTGTACGGACTCGCGCTCTTTCGCGCTAAATTTTTCCTCGGTGCGCTAGCTGATTTTTTTACTATCTTAACGGGCGACTTTCTTCGGACTATCTTTTTAAGAGGCGATCTCGATCTGTGCTTCACGACGGACTTCGCGATCGCGCTTTCACGAGATTGATTTACTTGTTTCGTATTTTTTTCTATCAAACTTTCATTAATCGATAATTTTGACGGTTCGACCTGTTCGTTACGTGCGACGATTGAAATTTCGTTCCCGGACGAATCGACATCTTTCGCGTTCTCCACGCCGATTGTATCAACGCCGTCGGCCCGATCCGTCTCGCGTTCGACGATACTTGCGATATTTATTATGGGCGCGCAATCGTTTACCGTTGTTACCGGCGATTCCGATATCTTTATTTCAAAGGTGTCAGGTATTCCGGGCGTCACGTCGCTGACATTCGCTATAATAGGATCCGGCGAGGAGTCTTCGTTGACTGTTAAAGCGATATCTCTCTCCTCGGTCGGCGTGGTGAAGAATATATTGAGATTTTTAAGCGCATGTAAGATGCTCCTTGCCGTTGAATTTGACGTTTGTGCGTTCTGTTTCTTGTCATCGTGAGATTGAGAAACTTCGTCTCCGAGATAAAGTTTCTCGTCGCGATTCACGGGATGCGAAGTACCTTCTTTCGATTCTAAAGGAAGAACGTGTTCGACGGGCAACCGAGGAGACGTGTTATCCGGTGTGTTATTATTATTATTTGATAATCGATCGTGTACGTTCTCATCAGAAAACTTATTAATATTCGCAACCAGATTTTCATCGGCAATAAATTTGGAAATTTCAGGAATAGATACTGTTTGGCTATTCTCTGGAATTTTAATGTCCTTTGAAGTTTCGGGGTCGCTAAAGCTGTTCGATATTTCAAGATGCGAAGTGTTTTCGGAGCAAGTACTGACATCGAGATTATTTTTTGTGAAAAAGGGTGACGTTATTTTTGCATGCGTCATGTGATTATGTGAAAGTGCAATTGTTTCTTGATTATTCGTCAGATTGAATAATTTATCCTGATTCATAACATTCTGTGAATCCGTCAAAGATTGAACGTCTGAGGTATGTACCATCATTGAACTGCCAGATTTTGCCAAGACAAGCATAATTTCCCTCCCCTGATCACGCGGACCACTTAAATTCATTTCCGTGGCTGCGTGCGAGTGTGTTAATGGCGGTAGGATATTTTCATCGGTTCGCGATTGAGTAATGGATAAATCATTGGCCGTATTTTGCTCAACGGGCACGTTTTCTTTCAACGTAGTTTCATTTTTATCGTCGCTCGCGGGAGTGTGATATGTGACCGAAATTGTCTGTTCTACTTTTTCCGAAACGTGCACCGCATTTTTCGGTACGATCGGCTTTGTATCATTTTTATCATGACGCAATGTCGTTCCGTGATTATCGAATATTTCGATGGGCGGTAATTTAACGTCGGGCGGATGATCGGGAGATGAATTCGATACTTTCGCGGGGGATAAAGTCGACGGGATTGATGAGGCTGATATTGAAACATGCGCGTGAGATGAATCGTTTAATTGTCGCTCGTCCCGTTTGTTAATATCCTGTTTATTTGCCGTATTAGTCGCGTTGATTATTACTTCGTACGAAGCAGACAAATGATCAGCGTTAGAATTATGAACGATTCTATCTTCTTGTGAAACATTTGTCTCCGTCGATTGAGAAGCAGACTTTTCCGCGTTAGAATTGTTTATGGAAGCTAATGAACCTGCATCTCGCGACGAGTCGCTCTTTAGATTTGGATCAATATTTGCAAAGGCGTTATCACTAAGAAGCTTTTCATGAGGTGCTTTTTCGGAAGAGCCTTTCGCTTCCTTTGGTGGTGATGATGATGATGATGACGCATCAGTCGAGCAATCGCCGGACGCAAGAGATTTCTGGGCGACAGATTGATCATGCGCTGAAGATGCTGTTAACAGTTGCACGTGAGAATTCGATAATTCACCTGAATGCATTTCCTCAGCTGATCTCGCCTTCGGCGCGATTTCATCTCCGACAGATTCCCCTTGATTATTATTTCTCGCAGGAGTGCCGGCTATCTCTAAAGAATTCTTACGTGAATACATTTCCCCAATGACGTCCGTTTGCGACGCTCCGGCAACTCCTACTACACTTGACGTTGCCGCTTCGTTCGCAGTCCGAGATTCTTCGGGAGTGTCTTTGTCCATTAAATCCATCGAATCGGAAAGCGTCACATCCGTTGCGATGTTAGTTTGCGAAGTGTTAGACTCATTCGTGTCCGTACGTACCGATCTGACGTCCTGATGCTGTTGCTTAATGTCTGGAACGCTCGACCGGGACTTCACCATCCGAGAACGCGGAAGCTTAGATCTGGCGATCTCCTTGTCGGTAATCTTGCTGCTTTTCCATTTTTCGGAACCTTTCTCCGAACCTTTCTCTTTGTCTTCTCGACCTTTCTCCTGAGGCGACTGCAAGCCAGTTTTGTTTTCGAGCACGGCTGCGGAAACGGGCGTCTTCTCTGCGTCAGCATCGGTCCTCGATGCAACATCCGCTGTCACCGACTGCCGAGGAGCGTCGATGTTCGTCCCGTCGATGATTTCCGCCTCAGGTACGTCGATTTCGGGGCCATCGATCTCGACGTTGTGTAAAGTATTTAATTGGTTCATGAGTCGCACGTCGGAAGTCACGTTGACACCACCTTTCCCGGGCGACAGCATTTGCATCGCCGTTATGAACGGCGTCAAAAGCTGCTCCGGCAGCGATTTCACGGCGGACAGCAGAGCTTCCACCGCCACGACGTGCGGCTCGTCGTTCTGCCTGGGGATTTCCTTTATGACACGCTGATCAGATTGCCCCCGCGCGGAAAGATCCCTCTCGGACGCGTCCGCGTGCACTTTCTCCGTCACGTTCGCTGTGTCGGCGCTCGTGGATTCGCCCGGCGACGACGTCCGCCGTCGCGGCAATATATCGGCTCGTTGGGGAACACTCGAATTCTGGAAAGAGATACGAAGTGCTCCGCTCAATTCCGCAGACTTCCCAACTTCGACGAGTGACTCGCTGTTACCCATCGCGGTACTCTGTCTTGCTATATCAGAAGGTAATTCAGGACCACTCGAAGTTTCCTGGCGCGTAGAAGAGGACTGACCCGGTTCCGTATTATTCATTGTGTCAAGCGCAGAACTTCCATGCGACGAGGGCACTTCAACTCCGGCGTTATTTGGTAATAATCTTTCCTGTCCCTTCGGTAAATTCGCAACTTCCGCCGCCGCTGCAGTTTCGTCGATCGATGTCGCCGAGGTGTCGACACGCGTACCTTTCGTCTCTTCGCGCGACTGCGCGGTTTCTTTTACTTCGACACCGCTCTTCTGATCAGATTTTGGCAGATCCGATTCGGTGATTCGCACGACAGTTTCGTTAGCGTCGATCGTCGACGATTCTCCGGTCGAACGGTTCGCATTGTCAATTTTCGGGGAGTATTCGGATGCGCGTGAGGAGTCCACCGCACTTGTCCTCGCGAGATCATCGACTGCGGTCGCGGGAATTTCCGTGGGTAACGCGGCGTCTACTTGGTCCAGGCCTTTTGTCGATTTCGTAGCGTTCTTTGAGTCGTCCCGCGAATCTACGGTCGCCTGGTCTTGCCGCGTGATCGCAAGATCGCTCGGCTCCGCTACGTCGGGCGCTTGTTGTACGGCCCTTGGGACCAGATTTGCATCGATTAGAACAGTGGGCTCGTCAGAGCGGTCGTACAGATTATCAGACTTATTATTACCCAATTCGTTCGGGGGATCTTTCTCGTGTCGCCAGTTATCGGTCAGTTCTCTGAGGGCCGCCAGTTGCTTTTGAAAGTCGGCCTGCAACGCCACGAAATGATCAACAATTGGTGACATTACCTGCTTCCGCGCCTCCATATCGGACACATTCGAAACTTGTTCCGTGGGACCGACCCCCGTCCCACCACCGACCGCACCCGCTGCGTCTGCAGCAAAAAGAAGGATCGGTGCATGATCGATGATCTTTGTTTCTTCCTCGAGCATTAACTTGTAATTTTTTTGTAAATGAGTATATATACACATAAAATAATTAATCGCTCATTTTTAATTTTCTAAGATCATATATTTTTCTGTTAAATATAGGAAAATATAAAGCGTTCGATTTAATTTTCTAAGATTATATATTATTTTTCTATTGCATAGAAAAAAACAAAGCGTTCTGTTTATAATCAATTGTGTAGTAGTTATAAGCAATGAATAACAATTAATAAAACTTCGTATTCCAGATCGCATGCAAAATAATATGAAAAGAATAATCTATATTTTCATTTTAAATTTAAAATTTTTTTAAATTTTATTAATTTTAAAAACATTTTAAAATGTATTTAAATATTGAATAATAAAAAAAATGTATGAAAAATGATGTCCATTATATAAAGTAATATTCTCATATTTAAATGGCATTGGAAAGCGCTTATGAAATTACAATCGGCGTATATCGAAAGCTTTCACTGACCTTCGTGCGGTGCAGCCTCCTCATTCTCCACCCCGACCGGAGGACCCCAGATCCTCATTAAAAAGGGCTTGAGCTGATTCTTCTGCAGCTCGAGCAGAGTGGCATCCTCGATACCGGCGTTATTGTCGAGAGCCCTGACAACGTCCGCGAGCGCGAAGTTTCCTTTTGCCATGATCTGTTCGCACTGCAAATCGAGAGGACGACAAATCAATATTTATCAAAATGTCGTGAAGCCATCGATGATTTTATTTAGATTTTCCCTCGCACGCACTTTCTGCTGCCTGCGTTGGATGGCCGTTGCGACTGCGTTCCACATGTCACCCTTGACAGATCGCAGGGCCTCCTTCGCTTCGAGCGGCGAGAGCACGCCGATGTTCTCCTTCATTTCCTTGCCCTGCGCGGTCACCAGGACCCGCACGGTCTCCACCAGATGCGGCCACTGCGTCTGAAGCCACTCGATCGGATTCGGTGCGCCTTGCGCCAACGCGACTTGGACGTCGTCGGTCGTGAATCCCTGCTTCTCGGCTTCCCGCAGGAGCTCCACTATCTCCAATCCTTGGCGCGTCAACGTGGAGACTGTTTGGCTGGTACTGGGACCCGCCTCGACGTATCTCGGTTGGCTGGGTTCCTGAAACCGACAAAAGCACATCAACGATCGTCTCGACGAAAATCAATTACAAAAGTACGAGATTGCAAAGTCAGGGGACGATGTTACTTGTCACAATCGCATGGGTTCCGCTGTCACAGATTATCTTTAATGTGCTGTTAAGCGCGCGCCTAAATTAATACCAGGACTAGCAGCAGCTGTAAATATATTACGCAAATAAGCATAATAAAATATACAATAAGCATAATAAAATATACAGTAAGCATAATAAATATACAATAGCTATTTAAGCGGTTGGAGGATGATAAAAGAAATGAAAATATCATCCTGCCTACGTTCACACCGAGGCTAATTATCGCGACGGTTGGATTGAGGATAACGAGGATGTACGACGGAAAATCCGTCAGGCTTGAGTTCGTAAGCGAGTTTACCCTGGAACGATAATAGAGATGGGACGAGTCGATGGAGTTTCTTCTGGTTCGCTCTCTGCTTCGCTGCCCGGTTATCAGCTGCTGAAGATACTGTTCCTGCAACGCTCGCGGATACAAATCGGGACTGTTTACGAATCCGGCTTGTTCCTAAAACAAACGCTCGGTCTTGTTTCTTTATTAGAACGCACGAAGACCGTGATTGATCACGTATCAACGGAAGATCTCTCTCTCTCTAAAAAAATACTTTACTATCAATAATAATCAGCTATAGATAAATTTTCGATCGTTCTTGTTCGACATTTAATTATGTTGCAATTTATTCACAAATTTGTTTCGCTCACCTCACCCTCGCTATCATCGTAATACAAGTAACTCTTCGACGTTGCTACCGACGCGGATCTTCCGAGAGTCCCTTTTGCAGGGAGATAGTCGTAAGTCTAAAATATTTTAATACAAAATTTATTCCACGATATTTAGTCTTCTTACGTTTACGTAATCTTTTCGTTCACATTCGTTCGTAGAATATTTCGCGATCGTGAATAATGTCTTACTCAAACAATTCTTACTTGAGTCGAGATACTCTGCGGCGGAGGGGATGTTCCCGTAGATACCGAATGGCTCTTCGAAAGTTTTCCCCGAATCTTTTCCTCGTGTAACATCGCGTTCGTGTCCGCCTCGGAGGTATTCGCAATCGAAGAAGACGTGAACGCCGAGGATGATGCTTCTAACGGCAAGTTCTCATCGACCGGCGATGTCGATTTCGATGGTGCTTCTTTTGCTTGCGAAGCCACAGCCGCAATCGTAGCTTTAGAGCTCTCTACGAGAGAATCGTTGTCTGGAGCAATCGCTTCTGAAAATCACAAATTTTCTCCATGATGCAGTGCGATGGTAAATTATTTTGCGCTACAGCTAAATTATGATTTTGGAAATTGATTGATGCTGTGATTGATACTGATTGTGAGTGTTTTCTTAATAAAGTATCTTTCGTATAGCATCATTCTCAAGGTCTTCCGGAAATGTACATGACATTTTTATCGTTTCTGGAGATCGAGAGAAAGAATAAAATCGCGAAATAAATCCTGTTGAAAAATTTTAGTACATACATTTAAACTTTAATGTATTGTCCATACGGGATTCTTCTTTGTTTAAATATTTATTAATTAATAACTTAGTTGAAAAATCTCTAATTTGCCAATTTGTTAGACTTGTAATAATATCCGTATATAATGATATCTCCAAAACATATAGCACGCAGTTTGTAATTATTGCAATTGGTAATACAAATAGTATTAATAATATTATATTATCCGATAATCCAAAATTGATACACAAAATATCGACGAGCGATTTTAAAAGAAATAAATTTTAACGAATTTTATTGTTACTAATTTTTTTTTTAGTTCATAATAAATAAATCTTTTGCCGCTGACGCGTTTCAGCGTCGTCGAGCCAAATGCTTTGGCAGTGATTTCCATCGATGGTCTGCCCCGGAATAAAGGAACATATGCCAAATGCACGCTCGTGCTTGAAACCGTCGCATCGCTTGAATGAATAATATAACGCCTCAGACATGAACACAGAAGATGGCCGAATTTCAAATACGACTATGCATTTGGTGCCGTGTTTGTAGAGTTGTACGAAAAACAGTTTCCATGTCTCTTTATTATTCATCCAAGGGAATACATCGAAGGTGGAGAACAACCAGTTGTACGGCTCGTGACTGCCGCTTTACGTAAAAATAAAAAAAGAGAGAGAGAGAGAGAGAGAGAGAGAGAGAGAGAGAGAGAGAGAGCAAGAGTGTACAAATGTAATTCGGATCATCCACATTTCTGGACAGGAATACGCGAGTTAGCATCACATAGAATGGGGACGTCACTTGGACAACTTGGTACCGAAGGAAAAGCTGATTTTGCGCTTCGGTCTACCTTTGTTCTTGACGGATCCGCTGTCGCCGCTCTCTTCGCTGTTGGAGATCTTCTTGGTCCGCTTCTCGGGATCCTGACTGGGATCGCCGACGCTGCTCGACGCCTCGTTTTTCGGTGCTCGCGGCTCGATCGGGCCGGCCACGGGGTCGTCGTTCAAGGTGCTCGGCGGCAGAGCGCTGCTCCTCGTCTTGCAGCAAACCACGCAGACGCGATCGTTGATCTTGTTGATGAAGGTGCAATGCTCGCAGGCCCATTCCTCTTTCGGAATTTCCATCGCGCCGATCGTCTCGTCAGGCGCGATTTTCTTTGACGACGCGCTCGTACCGCTTTCGACCGTGTCTCTCTTTCCCGTCTTCGGTTCCTTCTGAGACGTTCGCGCCTGCTGCTGCTGTTTCGTCTCAGCGCCGTCCTGTCTCTTCTGTTGAGCTTCGGCGGTGCGTGTCGTGTCCTTCGACTGACGGTCCTCTTCGATCGATCGCTGACGATCCGTAACTTGAAGATTACCTATCGTTTCAGGTAGGTCCCTGTAATCTTCCTTGTCCCCCTGTTTTTTTACCGGTACTTCCTTGGAGGGCGTTTTTCTAAGGCCTTGATTGTCGGATTCAAACGAGGATTTGCCGGAACTTCGTTTGCTGGACGTCCGGTCTAAGTTGTCGAGAGTGTCTTTTCGCCGGAACGACTCTCTTTTCGCGAGAAGCTCTCGTTCTCGCGAGCCATCGCGCATTTGTTGCTCTCTTCTTGTCGAACGCGACTCGACCTCGTCCATGTTCGCGCGATCTCTATCCGAATGCCCTCCTTGAGATGACTGCCTTTCCAGAAGGCGCGTTTTTTCTCCCTGTGTCCTTTTCGGGGAGGTTACATCTCGAGAAGGCGTCCTCCTGATCTGACCGTCGCTCTCGAAGGACGATCTACGAGAATCGCGACGAGTAGAGGATCGTTCCAGATCGTCCAGCATTATGTCCCTTCGAAGGGATGACGCCCTTTTCAAAGCGTTCTCCACTCTCTCGAAATGATCGTCAGACGAGCTCGTAATTCGTGCTCGGCCCGGCGGATTAACTTTTCGATCAGAGGACTCGTCGTCGGTACTTCGCCTTCGGCGATAAGTTCCATTCTGAACGCGATCCAGCCGAGGATCCATCTTGGAAACTGTCCGATCGTCATGGTTGTAGCGTCGTGCAGAAGAGATAGTGTTGCTCTTTTGAAATTCATCGTAGTTTCTCGGATATCGTTTACCGGACGGACTTTCGGACCACTGATCTTCAGCCATCATTTTCTCTTCTGACACTAATCTCCTGAAAAACCAATCATCGAAATGTGACGTAAGTGCGAATAAAATATAAATTTTTAAATATTACAAAAATGAAAATTCTATAAAATTATGAAGAAATTATGTTTTCAAAAAGATTAATAAAGGGAGAGTATAATAAGTTAATATCAATAAGTTTTGAAATTATCGACAACGAACGAATGAACAATCGACAGAATTCAGTTCATTAGAAAAATTAAATTAAATTGTGTCTATATATATTTTTTTTCGCAAATATTTGTGTGTTTTTTTCTCTCGGTTAGTCTAAAATGATAATTTTTGTAGTGTATCCTCGAAATATTCAAAATTTTAAATCGTCGAGAGAAGTTAAGTTTATTTTATCTCTCAGAATTTTCCCACTTACTCTCGTCGCCCTCTGGACACGAGACTTCTGGTATCTTCGTCATGATAGTTTCGTTGTCGTATGCTTCTCGGAACGCTGCCGCGTCTACTTCTGGATCCACGGGAAAGTCTGTCGTCTATGTCGGACTCGTCGGAGTTCTCGGAACTCGCGTCCGACGGCGACCCGGGCGACCTTCTCGATCGCGATCTCGAAGCGTAAGACTTTTTGGATTTCAGGCTGGGAGACGGAGACGGCGGTCTCGATCTTCTGCTGGATTTGACGCTCCTGGCCGGACTCTGACCTCTGGAAAGAGATCCCGGGTAATGCGGAGGTAGCAATTGCGCCGACGGATAGCCCATGGGGTATCCCCACACGCTTGGATGATGCAGGCTCGCGGTGGAGCCTCCCATCGATACGTCCCATGAGTTGACCGGCGGATACCACATCATCGGCATGCCGCCGGGTCCGAGATGTGCCATCGATTGGGCCTGAAACAATTTTACCCATCACGAATCTTCTTGGCGTGCGCCAGCTTTAAATATGTTTAACGTATCGTCTTATTTTTGAGCGTTTAGAAAATAAATCAGGAAACTACTAACAGTCAAAATCGATAATAAAAAAAAGATTTAACAACACTCGTTTGAAAACATTCAAAATACCTGATGCATTCCCGAATTCCACATATGAGCAGCGGTCAAGTCGCAAACGCTGGCTGACTGCATCATGGTTCTAGGTGGCGGCGGAGGTGGAAGTGGCGGTGCCGGTTTCGGACTGCCTACGCTGAGCGGCCTTCCGCTCAAAGTGTCCCTCGCATCAGCGGATGGGTGTCGTCGCCTGTTCGCGTCTTGAGCCCTCATCACCTCTTGGTATTTTCTGTATCTCTCCTAAAAATATGTAATTTTTTATTGCAGTTTTCAAAATAAGAAATAAACTTGTCAGAAATTCAACAAGTGGCCATTGCATCGCAAATAGTAATAAAATAGTAGCGAAAGAATATATCTAAAACTGTCAGAAATAGAGATGATCTCGTGAATATATGTAATATCCAATTTATTTTAATGAATGGAAATAAGTTAATTTCGATATTTAATTAACAAATAATTAAATTTATAAATATTCATTATTTTATTGATTTAATAAAAAATGCAATGAAAGAAAATTGTAGTTTTTGAGAGTTTCTTTATTCACAAATATTTTCATGATCTCGTTACTGTGATCTTTCAGATTCAATTCTTTTAAAATAAAGACCATTCTTTAATAGTTAATATAATTTTGTATATGATATTGTAACTCCTCTTACCTGTAGAGTAGTCATTTTATCTGTTCTCGCTCCTGAAGCATCGTTGGAAGACGTGTTTAAAGTATTCGCAGATTTCGACACTCTCGAGTCCGGCGGTGGTTTTGAATTGGAAAAATTGCGCTTCAAGCTCCCCACCTTGTCGAGCAAAGCGAGTTGCGCAGATCCTTTGATTAGCGCCGATTTAGCCTAAGCGCGAAACTTTAACTTAATTACATATCGTGAATGTAAGAAGGGAACAACACCCGGAATATGTTGTCGAGAATTGTAGATGTTTGTTTATGAAACTGCGCTGATATTGTTATTAAAAAAAAAAACGTCAAATTAATCATATGACGGTGGAAAAAATTTGAAGTTTTTCGCTAAAAACTCTCATAAAAAAATAACATAGGTTTAAAAAAGAACAAATAAATAAATAAATACAAAAAAATGGCTTATCTCTGGAGGAACACCAATGTGTCAAGAATATTAAAAATAAAAATCTTATAAATAACACGTCATTAAAAAACAATTATCTGTCACTTTTCTGTCACGTGGCAGATTCAACCAGCTGGATGGATAGGCTGTCTATGCTGAAAAGAAGGCGGGGTATACCGAGTGTAAAAATAAGCCATGATGGTACCCGTAACGGTACGGGAAATACGGAGTGCTACGGATGCCGATGGAGAAGATTATGATCGTGTGCGAGAATGATCGTGTTCACCGTGTTCACCGTAGCCTGCCATATTCACCGCGCCGCAGAGAGATTGTCCGCGGCAAAAACGATCCGATTACACGATACGACAAATGCCCGGCATTTACGACGGCGCCGACGCGCTACGTTCGTCTTTTCCGCGTCATTACATCAGCGACAGAACTGGAGAGAGAGAGAACGGGTTCAGTGAATGCGGCATCAGTGTCTTGCGGTAACATGGTGTATTAAAAAACAACGACAATATGTACAATAAAATCTGAACGTAAAATAGAATATCAACGATCATTTAAAGCTCGCAAGGGCAGTAAACACTTTAAGAACGCCTCGGTGTGACGTCTCGAGTAAAAGCTATAACGTCGTCTTAATCAACAACGTCGAGAAAGAGAGAAAGGAGAGTCAGCATTCGGCGATCCGACTCCGTGAGCACTCGGCGCGACGGAAACGAGGTCGGATTTGGCGACAAACAGCTCAGCCCGGAGTTAGTCATTCATCCAATCTTGCGCGCGATCGTCGCCAAGAAGCAGACACTTGATCGCGAAAATTCAATTGGCCGTACAGCGGCAACCTCTGATCTCCATCGAGCTCGAGTGATCCCGAAGCGATCCTTGGGCGCGTGGAAGCTGAGGAACATCGAGGACTTATATCGGTCGACGACTGGCGTCGGCGCCTGGAAGAAGATTCACGAGCAGTCGGGGGATTTCAGGCCAGGGCGCAGCCTACCTGAGTGCTCTTGCGATTCCTCCGCGGCGGCGGCACCGGCGGAGGATGCAACAGGTTCTCCCCCTTCGGCGGCAGCGGCGGTCTGCTTCTGCTCGCGTTGTCGGTCAGGATCCTTCGGCGGACGTGGCCCTTCCGCTTCGGGTGCTTGTGGTTCATGTCGTCGCAGGCCTCGCAATAGTTCTCGTTGCACGTGTCGCAACGCGCGAACACGTTCTCGGTGCCGCACAGGGCGCATTTGCTCGCGTTCGATTGAAGCATCGAGGGTTTCTGGGCTTGCGGTCGGGTCGGAAACTCGATGATCTCGTAGTCGGGGTCACCACAGTCCCCGGAGAGCGACGGCGCCGGGATTTTCGGGGGCGTCGGGGGTCGACGATGCTGCTGCTCCGTTTCTCGCTGCTGCGCCTTTTTTTTTATCGAAGAAATGTGTTTACTTCCGAGATCAATATTGTCTCGATATAAACAGATTAGTATATATATATATATTGCAAGATTAAATACAAATGTATTAAAACAAAATTCGATAGCTATGTCAACATCTTTTTATTTATTCCAACAACAGTTATAAAATTGAGAAATAATTACAAGTAAAAATTTATAGGGACAAAAAAATATAACTGAAAGAGAAACCTACCATGACCCAATGGGGCATGGATCTTGCCATTCGCAACTTGGTGGACGGATTCGATATGGCCATCGGTCGCCATTTTTCAGCTCCCGGGTTCTATGCAATATAACAATAGAGCTTTATTAATTTCCTCTTTGAGAATTTATTTCAGAAACAAGATTGCATTGGTGCATCTCCGTCACGCTTATAAAATGTTGCACTTATCTCTGATATGAAATTCTATTTAGAATTGCAAAATTGTTTAGTACGTAAGACACGAGTGTTAAAGCTGTTAAGCATAATAAAATTATTATAGTTAGATTAAAAAGTAAATCAAGGAGCGGTGATTATATACAGCGCGGAAGCGATTATAGCGGTAATGCTTCGTTGAATCAGAGTATCAAAAACCTAGACGACTTGGAAGAGCTCTGGCAGTTTCCTACTGCCACAACAGAGTGCCAAATGTGAATTGATGTCATCGCACCTTGGGCTCGCGCGTCGCGTCCCGAAGCCTAAATAATTTCGGCGTCGTTGCCGCATAATCGAGACCGTACAAGTGGGTGGGCACCGTCGCGGGGAAAGCGTGACGTCAGAACGGTGAATCCACCGCCGGAAGCTGGACCGACCGGGTCTATTTTCGCGGCCGGGAAAAAGCGTGTTCCGCGTCTAGAAATAAAGCCGAGCCGCGTGGCGCGCGACACTATTTTTTCATGATGTAGATGACACCAACGACGATATCCCTCTCCTTCCTACGCGAATTAACAAACGTAATCAATCTTGATTTCGGGATATCTTAGGTTACACCTTTCGACGGAACGTAATTGATGAAAAGGCGGACGACCTAAATAAATCGGTTTCAAAAATATCTGACACATGTTCGGGATATATCTTTTTTAATTATTTATTAGGGTTCTCGTTTTCTGCCCACTCATCTTGTTATCTTTTCGTTGAATCGCAGCAACATGTCGATTAATTGAAGACATTCATATGATCCAAAACGAGATAAACGGAAATAAACGTAGCCACGCAGTGAAAAGCTTTCGCTTGAGAGCCGCGACGAAACGGGAGTTTCTTGAATTAGAGCTGTTCGTATCTTTAGAACGTTCACTCTACTGTTCTTCTTATAGCACACATTTTTTTCTATTTTTGTTTTTATTTTACGCGCTAGGAAAATCCGCGACGAATCCAATAGAAATATATATATATACGAATGATGTGCCAATTAATTATAATTTATAATTTTTTCATTAAGACTTCATGGCCCAGCATAATTACGTCGAAAGAGAGTAAAAATTCAATTTATTTAACGAAATTAAATAAAAATATGCAGCATACACTATTTATTCAATTTATTTATTGTTAAACTTTTCCTTTACAATTATTTCCTCCTATTCAGATAGTTTTATCCCAAAATGTGACAGGAGAAAAGAAAGAACCAGAAATGCAAATCGAGCGCGTACATCGTAAAACTATTTCTCGTTGAGATTGCATACGACTGTGCAAGCTGGAAATCATCCAACTTCTAGTTTATCCGGGAGAATTTCTGTCCGCGAACTTCTTTCGCGCTCAGACACGTCTCGCATTTTATTCGTGTCCGGAGTTTAGACGGTTTAGTCGTTAGGATCGCACAGATAGATGCAATTTGAAGATCCGTTTATGCTTTCGTCACACTTCCGGCAGCGCGATGCGCGATATCGCGATAGTTACGGAATAATTAGACAATGGTTAGCACATGCGAGGCGCAATCCGGTAAGGGATCTCGAACCGGAAGTAACTGTCACAGTCGGTACACGGAGTTACAAGTTACAGATAACACGTACGCGCTAATTCGCAAGCCTAACTTTCCGCGTGGCAGTAGTGTGAGAAACGGGCCCCGCTTTATCTTTCGTTAACGTTATTCCAATAGTCGCTGGTACCCGCATAGGGTAGATGCCTGTGCGAATGCGGCGCTACGAGACTAACAAATTGCAAAGCAACGACGTGGATTTTAGATGCCACTAAATAATTATCCTCAAAATGAATTCAGCTTCCCGTCTTCGCTAATTAAATCGGAATCATTTAACAGTTGAAAATTGAAAAATCTAAAATTTAAGGATCTTATTTGTCCTCATAAAAACATTTGCCTTCTATTGAATATTTATTATCATATAATAATTAAATCGCGCGCAACGAGAAGATTTCCTGTTATACTTTTGTTTATGTATCTTTAGAATTATTTGTGCTTTTTAAAAACAGATGAAAACGATGTTAACTACCTTCTACACCTTCGACATGCGTGCAATCGTGTGTTCGATATTAGACACCCGAGAGATATAAAATAATTTGATTAACTTCATTTTTTTTTTTTAATCATAAAATGCACATTTTTTGAGACTGCCATCTGAATGTGCTGCACGGGCGAAGTTAAATGCACGCGCCGTGCGCACTCCCAAGTCGATGCACCATGAGAGCTCCGATTTAGACAATCCGTATCCACGACGGTCGACCTATCCTCACGTCACAAATCGTTTTCGTGTACCATGGGTTTCGGCAAAGCACTGAGAGCTTGGAGAATTGGACAACAACGCTTTTCTATTAATAACATTCTGTTCGGAACACATTCGTTATTGAAAGAAACATATCTCGCGATGCGATTATACATTTCTCAATCATCCGAAATACGATGTAATCAACTTGTTTATTATCCTTAGTTTATCCTTGCGAGCGGCGTTTGCTTTTTCCTTTCTCAATTAAGAAAAGAACAAATGACGTGGTAACGGAATACCCATTACGGAAGTCCTCGTGGCGGAAGATGCACTCGAGAGGGGGAGGGAGGGGGGGTGATGCACTCGATGGAACGAATACTCGGCACTCACGTTCATGTGGGACACCTCCGCCGGGGTTGACTTTTCCGGGGTTTTTCTCGGGAACTGGTCCGCACGGTACTGGGCCCTGTCTCCGGTGTCAGCTTGGACGGCGCTGCTCGTCCGCGGGCGGCCGTTGCATCGCCGCCGAAATCTATTTCCGTAACGCCGCGTCTGCTGGACCGCTGCCACCGTACCCGCCGTGGTCTCCCCGTTCGCGTAAATATATCGCGATGCTCGCTGTGTGCGCGCAGCTTAGACGTTAGAACTGGCATCGCTTTAGAAACTACAGCTATCGTCCGTCTCATTTCGAGCGAAAACAATGAACCACTCTTTTCTTTAGTTCTTCAGCGGCTATTATAGCGGCTATTAAACAAGCGGCTATCTAGATGAAGTATTGATTAGCGCTTCTTGGTTTCCTCTTGGTATTTCGAGTATTAAAATTCGAATTAAAATTCTAGGAAAGTCTGAGAGAGAAAGAGGGAGAATTTTAAAAAATAAAGTTGTTATCTAAAAAATTAAACGTTTTATCAGAAAAAGAAAAAACTTAAATACAGCTATATCTGCTCGTTCGGGCCTCTTTTTGAATAGATATTCAATATATAAAACGTTTATGGTTTTTCTTAATTCCCAATATTACATTTTTCAGTTATTAAAATTCGAATTTAAAATCTTTATCTTTAATTTCCGAAAAGAAAATCTTAAGATTATTTTTTATTTTTAAGGATAAATTTTCTATTATCTTAGAAACTAAAAAAATTGCAGGCGAAGAAAAAAGGACTCTATCTACATTTAGCTACGTCCGTCTCACTTCGGGCAAAAATAATGTTTGCTCTTTTTTAATTCTTTGGACAAAATAAAATGTTCATAATTCTTCCTGATTGCCAATATAACACGGAGAGAATTTTTTTAAAAATTTACCCTGCAAATCATGTTATTATAGGACAATATAGTATTTAGGCAAATTTTACTGTGCACTACAATAGGATTTCGCAGTAAAATTTATTGTAGTGCACAGTAAAATTTGCCTAAATACTATATTGTCCCACAATTAATATGATTTTCAGGGTAAATTTTAAAAGAAAATTCTCTCCGTGTACATATTTCAATTAAAATTCTTCTTAAGATTGAGACTAAAGTTATTGGTTCAAAAATAAAAAAAAAATAAAAAAAAAGAAGGAAGAAACACGCTGATGTGTAACATCGAGAAATCTGCAATTATGTAAATCGGGAATACATTAAATGGAATGTTGACGCGACATTAGCCGAAGTTGACCGGTCGCGGTGGACTTATGTCCAATGCGTAAATTTACATGGTAAATTTGTTGGCACACCTTGCTGTCACTGCGAACATTCGTATTTGACGTGAGATAGTCATTACGCGCGAAAGTATTATTTGCTTATTACATTCCAATAAGAAGACACGGTACAATTCCATTGAGAGTCTGTTAGGCTACGTGATTCTTAATTGACACTGCTATTTTGCGTCGCTGTTGCTTTATTATCCTTTAGCCTCACACGCGGCATGTACACGGAAATAAGCTCAGGGCATTGAAACGTTAGAACCAAATAGAGTATAACTGAGCGTATAAACTTCTGGTAACGGTCGGCCAATATGTAATCTATCGTTGCCTCTATTGCATCACTGCTTCTCTCTCTTTCCTTCCAGCAAATCGCTTCCCACGTACGCGACATTCACGCGCCCACGTGGGCGCGCACACGCGCTTTTACGCGCGCCCGATCTTGTACTTTCTGCCTAGAAATGGTGACTCCGAGGAAGCGAGTGATACGAGAAACACTTTTAATGTATACGACATCCGATGCAAAACGGTGACCTTTACGAAATTCACGATTCATATAAAGTTGCAGCCGCGCCGGTAAACAGCTTACTCTAATCAATTCTGTTAGCAGCTTCATTATCTATTGTATAATACTATATATGTACATATATACATAAACCGGTCCTTGCAGCCATGTATTGATTGCAACATCTGTCGGATCATCGTGCTAAGTCACTATATTAAGTCATTACCCGTGCAGCTGCGGCATAATTATGAGATAACGTATACGCCAAATAAATTATACTGTTATTCCAAGAATATTATAATATCATTTGCATGAAAATACAAATGATATCTTTATATATTTGATAAACTTATACATAATTAGAAGCTCTTTTATCGTCGCCACCGCTTTTAGTGCCCGCATGATCAGAAATCGTGGTAAACTTTATGAACTGCTAATTCTTCTGGAATTCCTTCAGAGAGAAAATCAACGTAATTATAATTAAATTAAATTCTTCGAATAGATAATGGTCTTCTGACGCATAAAATATTTTATTTCTGGTCGTTAAAGAAAAAAAAGGGGGGGAAAGAATCTATCCTGAGTGGTATATGGTCTCATGCTATCTCTGGTCTTATCATCGCAGACGATGGTCCCGGGTCCTCGCCAGGTGAGTGCACACGGGAGAGTGACCGTTACGCAGGTAGACCGCAGGTAGGACGCAGGTTGGTTCTCCAACTGTAGCGCCACCTGAGCCGATCCATCGTTGGTGCCTCAAAATGGCCGTTCCTCTCACCTCAGACCTTCCTGGAACGCCGACGGAGGCAGGTGGCGATATTCAGGTCCGATCTGACTCGCGAGGCCGCCGCGCTTAGTGCCGAGACCTCATTCCAGGTGGCGAACAGCCGAAACCGTGTCACCCAAGACGTCCGTACGCGCCGCGCTGGAAGGTCGAAAGTGGCCGTCGTGCGTGTAATCGCGCGAGAGTAGTACTCGTGGAGGAGTACCCGAGAGTACGCGGCGTATCCGCGAGGCGAGCCCGAACGGAATCCCGGGATCAGGTCTGATCTGATCGCGAGGCGTTCCCAGTCGACGACGCGGCGATCGATATCGCGATCGCGATCGCTGGTGAACAGGTGGACTCGATCGGTGGTCCGCTCGGCTCGCTCCTCACCGTCGCGTTCCCTCCTCGTGTTCCTCCTCGTCCGTGTCGCGTGCGCGCGCGCGCGCGGAGCTCGCGAAACGGAGCGAGGCGCTCGCTTGGTGATTTCGATGCGCGGCACGGAAATAATCGGTAGACCGAAGGGGACCGCGAGTGATATCGCGCGCGTGGTCGTTACGTAGTGCTCAAGGCTGCGTCGTTACCTGCGATCTTTCACCTGGTTGCAGAGCAGTCGCGATACCAGAGCGATACCAAGGACCGGACGACTCTCGTTGCGAGAGGAGATATGCCTGGCAGTCACGGAATTCGTCGAGACTGCTCGTGGATGACGCTGAAGCGAGGATTATGAGGACGTACGTATCGCCGCTCGAGGATAAGGATAAGTCGATGTATTCGCGTTTTTGAGACGCAGAAGTCGCTCCACTTTTACCGCAGCGGGATCGCCGCTCCGCGGTTCTGTGATTTTTTGACAGACGACCGTGGAGAACGAAATTTACACTGTGTGTGTGTGTATGTGTGTGAGGAAGATCACCAGTATTTGTGATTGTCTGAGTGATCTGTGATTAATGATTGTCTATCTTTTGAATGATGGTGTATCAATTCTGGAACTTCTCGCGACGGCACGCTCGCCTAGTTTTAATTCATTGGTATTTAATCGATTTCACGGATTAGGAAAGTCGAGCCTACTTCACGGATAATTGAGAAATTTCTCTCGGACAATATCTTCTAAGTTTCAGTAATTGCTCAATATTCAGCTCAATATGTACAATACAGTGAAATCTGTCGGCTTACGAGAGTGTATCGTGAGACCAAAATTGGGACACGTGTATGGGTACATCAATGGGCGTAACGCAATATTTGTTCGCGCGTTACGAATTTAAAGTACTCCAGATCAGAGTATCGCAGCTGTCATATCAAATTTCGCGAATGTTTTCCGAATAACGTTCTCCAATGAGAAGCCGAAAGATTAAAATCCTTATCAGAATTGGATACGTTGAAAATCAATCGAAAAAGAAACTGAATGGCTTCTCATCAACTCATCTCGGTCGAGTTTTACGCAGTTTAATTGATTCTGCGTTATTGATTCAGACAAGTTAAATATTAACCTCAATAAATATTAACGAAACCAATATTTAATATCCTAAAAGATATGCCAATCGATGTATTTCTTTTATTTAACCCATTAATTTAATTAATGGAGTAACGTTCGTTACTCCATTTATCATTTGTCAGTCGTCACAATATCATTCTAAGTGGAGTAACGATCATTACTCCATTTACATTTAGAAGGATATCACGACTGACAACGTCGTCTACACGGCGCAGTTTTTTGCAGCAGATTCCTCCATGCTGCACACTTACAGACCGGAATCCTGCGTAACGTTTAACAATCTCTTCCATGATATATTATAAAATTTGACCGCTGCTTAAAAAATTGACATAAATCTGTCGGCCCCAGCGTTAAACGCTATACGACATGTATCTTCCCTCATTCGCGCGGCGCTCGTTCATTCCCGTTACCTCGTTGTTTTCGCGAAACAACGTTCCGCGCGGCGCATATCCGAATCGAGAGTCGCGGCCGCATTCCCCGCGATTTACCTCATAATAAAGTTTCTCGTGTCTCGCAGCAGCGTGCGTGGCACAGCGGTGGCGCTTGCGGCTCGCAGCCCGGCGCGCGTAAATACCTAGAAGAAGGTGGGCCAGAATGGGGACACACGGGCACTCGAATGGGCATTATCGCGCGATAAACGACGCGAGGAATGTCGTAAATAATTCTTACGTTACGCCGAAGTTCCGACGCGCGTCTCGCTTTCTTCCTCGACTTTTCCGAAAGCCGCTCTCGGTCCCCCCCCTCGACTTCGTCGCACGGATCTCCCGTCGAATCTCGGCTCGTCGCACCGAAGCGGATTTTATCGGCGACGAAGAAGCCCCGCGGATCACGGATTGCGTGGGTACGTGCGATTACGCCATCGGGCTTTTTTGTAACGAGCGCCGCGATAAATGACGCGTCGCTCTCTCGACCGGGAATCGCCGGAAGATCGCATAATTTATAAAGGTGCAACGCGCCATTACGCGACCGACCATCGTATCGGCGCGGCGCGGCGCGACGCGACGCGGCCCGTTCCTCCGCGCTCTCCGGAGTTATGCAATTCGCCATAATCGTACCGCCTCGGTCGCATTCCATTCGGAGAGTCGCTGTTCTCGGCGTATACGCAAAGCGTCGACTGCCGTTGATCGCAGGGACGGATCCAAACGGAAAGTAAATGGCACGTAGGGGGGGTTTCAGATATCCCCGTAGTAACATAGTCGGAGAACGATCTTGTTTTCGTCTCGAATATTTTGTCAATTCATTCAAGATTAAAGGCGCTCCTCTTGATATCCGTTCACTTGAACACCAGTTCGGAGCTCACGTGTATACGTCATCTCGAGACTTCGAAGAAGTCCACCCTCCATGCGCGCGGTGCATGCCTGCGCGGTCGTTCGCGTAAAAGTCGCTCGCGACGGCGAAATTTATGGGAATTTTACGATTTCCGCACTTTGCCGGCGCGCGCGTCGAGCACCGAGTATGTAAAATGTGCGGCTTAATGAGACGCGTTAAGGATTTCCGTTACAGGAGCGAGAGCCGCGCTCGGTCGGGCAGAGATACGGGCATTTAATCGGACCGCATTCCATTACGAAAATTATCGTTCCGATTGAAATGTATAGCTCTTGCGCGGCGACGTGTCAAAAATTGCGCGGGACGGGCGGAGGGGGATCACGACAGGGTCGATTTATCACATTCTATTAGCGGATAACAGGACTTACACACCTGCGCGCGCGGCGGCCGTATGCATCGCGGGTGCAAAGACGCTCGATGCAAGACGCTATCGGGCACAGTTGCGTCATAATCAATATTACGCATTATTAGTTCCATCGTCGGGGCAGTTACCGACGAAGACTGGCTGGATTATATACAACGCGGTGCAGGTTAGCAGGCATAAACATTAGCCCGTCGACGAAGTTCGAGAGACGTTAGTTCGAGCCGTATATATACGGTAACGATCGGCATCGAGTATCTGACGAAACGAGAATCCGATACGCGAAAATGATATTATAAAATACGAAAGTAAATTGCGAAAGATGAATCCAACGTCGATTTTCAAGTGTATACGAAAGTCGTTCTTATGCCAACGGAATGTATTATTTGATATAATGATCATAAATTTTAATAGATCGGTGTGCGCATGTAGTACGCTTGTATACATACATATGTATCTCTCTCTCTCTTTCTTTCATGCAATATCTTAATATCACTTCGCTAATGATAGAGTTGCCCGTGGAATATTCTTCCCTTGTAATTGTAGCGTGATTACATAAAAATAATATCCTAGTACGATCATATACTGGTCATGAATAAATTTTTTACGACGGCTCTCCGGTGCACCTCTGGATTTTGTCGAGAGTCAACGAACTATCCCGCAACGGCGAGAGCAGGTCGTACACACCGTGGCCTCATTTACAAAGAATTAGCTCATACTCTCGCGATGCGAGGGCCGCGATACGCGCGGCGACGTACGTACAAAATGCTTTCTCCCGATATGGCGGCGTGCACCTCGTGCTCGCTCTTCGGAAAGAGGAACTTTCCGATACGTTCCATTGGTACGTTACTGCCGGGACCGCGCGATTGCCTCTACCGTACACATTGGATTTAATCGTGGCAACATTCGTTAGAAGTTACAGCCGCGAAAGTAAAAAAAAACAAGGGCGACGACCTCGTCAATTGGCTGTGAAAAACCTGATTCGTTGTTCCGTATGAGAGAGAGAGAGAGAGAGAGAGAGAGAGAGAGAGAGAGAGAAGGAGAACCGGAGATTAGGCACGTGTCGCGTTTTATGAATGCGTTGCTAATAACATGTCGCAAACGCTATTGTCCCAGCCGCAGTTCTGTACTTACGTAGAATTTGCCACGAGCGATCTGTGAGCATTTCCGCAAAGTCGACTGCAGTTTCTAATAGTCGATTGAATCCTTATTTTTTATTCTTAAAACAGAAGATTTAATTTTCACACTGTCGTAATATTTCACAGAATGCATAAAATATTTATTTATCTTATTGACAGTTCTATCTTATGATGCGTGAATTTATTCATTGCCTATATTATATATGAAAAAAAGAAATGATTCATATGCATATATATATCAAATAACTTTGCGGATTATCTAAATGTTTATTCAAAACGTTACTTAGTGTCGAGGGAAAGTCGAGAAATAATTTAGCCTCTGTAAAATCCCTGGTCTAAATGATGCTTATTTGATTGCTGGTCGCTATGATGGCGGTATTATAAGAATTTAGAAAGCATTGCGGTCAGATAGATGTAAGAAGTAGTGCGTTCAGCCAATTTAGGTAGCTATACTGTGTTTTTCCGCAGCTTGGTTTCGCAGAGGGATTGACAACTAAGAACCTGTTTCGACAAGCAAACAAATTGGAAAAGAAATCAATTTATGTATATCGATAACAAATTATTTTTCTTTAAAGCAGAGAATGTCGACTCTCGTGCGATACTCCATGCAGTATTTAGCTCTTATTTATCGTTGGATTTATGGCTTTAGGATTTTTGCAACTATATCAGTAACATATATATATATATATATATATATATATATATATATATATATTTAATAACATTGATTCGAAGCGTTTAATAACATATAATCATCAGGCTGAGATATGAGAAAGAAACACGGCCGAGATGATGCATTAACAGATCCGCGGGATCTAATATCTACCGGGCATATATCGATATTGAGACTCGTGGTAGAAATTCTATTAAATGCTCGCAGCCATACGTGGGAAAATCTCTCTCTCGCCGACGTTACCGTAGGCATATCGCCTGTCATTAAACGTGTTGCAATCGCCTCTTTAGTCGCCCACTTCGTGAAGTATTGGCAATGATTCGTTGCAAAATTTCACAGGAAAGTGTCGGCGGTTCAAGCTCACTTCATGCACACACTCCTTCATTCTTAGATCTCAGGACGGATATTATCTTTCAAAACCCCTGGTGAAGCGTACTGCAGAGGATGTGCTTGGCAACGCACATCCGATGCGAAGGATGCGCCGATAGAATTAGAAATTCCACGATAGAGCCCAGCTGCACGCGATAACGGTGCGCAATTCGGGCTCGCCGGGAAGAAAACTCGCTACATTGTCGAATTGGAGCGTAAAACAAGCTACGTTCGCGTGTTACGAGAACGCTGAGAAGTCCGCGTCGGTGTAATTAACAGTTGCAAACTAATTATTGCGTATAATTCCATCACGCGCGTTTCCCATCTTTTGATCCCCATCTTCGGCATCTCGCGCATTCATATCCGGTATGCCAAAGGAGATTATTAAATGCATACCAGTGGCTTTACTTAAGTACCTCTAATTGTAAGTCGTATAAAATTAAGTGTCAAGTAGAAGACTCAAAGTATATTATAGGTAACATAAGGAATGTAGAATTTATAAATGCATCTTCAAATACTTGATATTTATCCGTTAATCTTATCAAGATTAATTAAGTATAAAAATTCTCTTGTTTTAATACCTGTTATATCTGCTTGATGTAATTAAACAAAAATAATTTTACATTATGTACAAATTTCTTAAATATATTAGAATACGTGATGTAACAAATTCATTTAACGCACGATTAGGAATTAAATTAATTCGCATACTTCATGATTAGAAATCAGGAATAGATCGGTTGCAACATTCTTTTCTTTTTGAAAGAAAAATCAAAGAGAAATTGGAAATGTACGGTTATGCTGCGCGAGTCATGCGCCGATCTCTAAACAGCCTGTAATGCCCAGTTATTCGTCTCGCCGGCGTCGCCTTGTATTTATCCCGGCGCGGTGAGAGGTAATTTCTCTATTCCCTGATCGAGGCCTTTAATTTTCAAGGTCGCACGCATCGAGAGCGAAACACTGCGCCGTACGAGACTGCAGCGAGCGGTGATCGGGACGAGGAGGAGTCGGAGGAGGATTCCGGCGCGAGAAGAGGATACTGGGTTCGGCAAGGCGGTCCATCGAGGCGGGTATACCATGTATCGGCCGAACTTCTACGAGAGCACATGTCTGAGATGCGCTCAGACCGTCTACCAGGTCGACAGGGTGGGTCCCTTGAAGGACTTCACGTTCTTCCACGCTGGCTGCTTCAAGTGCGCGATCTGCGGCACCAAGCTCACCCTGAAGACCTATTACAACAATCAGCACACGATCAACGACAAGGAGGTGTACTGCAGCAGCCACGTGCCCAAACCCGGGCCCGGGACTCTAGATGGGTCCAGCGTGGGCATCAGGAGCGCCCTTAACGTGCCTAGAAGCGGCTACGTTAACGAGCAGATCAGGGCGGGTGGCGCGTCGCCGCGCGGCGTCTATCCACCTTGGTGAGTGTCTGTGCTTCTTTTTCTTAATATTAATATCTTTATAAACAATCCTGTATTTTCAATGCATACGCACGGGACCTGGTAATCCATCTTTAACGTGAATCTCACACCATTATACATGAAAAATTCATGACTGTAATATATCGCGATCTCTTCAAACGTCTATCACACGCGTATCACATTGCGTGCGAGATGTTGTCTCAAGCTCGTTATCTCATTTCCCCAATCCGATCTCGAATAATTAGGAAATTTATCGTAATACAGACGGGAATTTAATGCATCTCTGCATTTATCGCGTCTGCCTTATTATCTTCGCTTTCACATTCTACGTTAAATTAAGACTGTGAACTACAGTATCTCTCTTCTTATATCTGATCTCAACTCATGAAAGAAGAAGTCAATAAATAAACGGGCGGAAGAGAGTGTACCTATTCACAACTCGCAACATTAATGAAATGAAATACTTCAATGAGCTCAAAGTGCGTGTTTTTCTTCAGCGGTCACCGTTACCGGTCCAAAATGTAAGATAACTGTACATGTAAAAGTCCATTCCCTCTTGAAAGTATCAGAGGCAGTAATTTTGGCGCTATCCTACAACAAATCTCAAAGCGTAATGGCTCTTTAAATGCCCCTTTGTGAACGTATCTGTTTTCTTTCAGCAAATAATACTCGCGAGTCATTCGAGTTTGTAGAACGCCGCATAGATTTAAATACGTAACGCTCTCAGCCGAGGCTCATTTGAATCGTAAATAGGCGCGAGGCTATAGGCTCTTCACCCCAATTTTCTATATTAAAGAACAATGCGATACTTTGCAACACGTGCCATTGCTTCTTGCGCGCGTCACTGTGTATTCTAATTTCGTCGATTAGCAAAAGTAATCTCGCGAATAAGCGTCGGCCACCGCTCTCAGCTTAACGTTCCACGGATCTCTTATCTTTTCTCGCTAACAATAAGCTTTCCTTCGCGCGAAAAACAAACCACAAACGTAAGTCGTACAAAACACAATTTTAATGGCGTTTCAACGCCAGGGACACACGCCGAGGGCACGCTCCGTAGAATTTATGTGTAATTTCTCCACTTTCCCTTTGCTATTCGATCGAGATCGAACGCTGCTGGAAATAATAGCTCCGACGTCTCGAAATCGAGTTTCGCGGAAAATACATACGAGTGCAAACACTAAAACGCACTTCGTTTAAATTTCTTCATGGTCTTGGTAATCCTCTGTGTTTCAATCTGCAATTCAATAGGAAATTATACCTTATGAAACAGTCTTATGTGAAATTATCGACTGGAAGTATTTAGATGTGAATGTAGCAAAAAATGAATGTGTTTGAATGCCCCTTTTTGAAATTAAATAGCAAATTTGAAATTATAGAATTTTAGAATTATTCATTTTATACATTCATTATTATCCATTTAAAAACGTCTTATCCGTTTGCCATCCGCTTCGCGAGAATTTTGCCAGTGAGTAGGATAACTGCTTGACGCAATGACAATTTCGCGGAAAGTAGTGATCATATATTATACATATACACTGCATTCTTTGACTCTGTGTCATCTCACAGTCTTCTACTCCGTAAAAGACGCCTCATCCCACCATTATGCAATAAGACTATTTTAGTTTTAATCCGACGAAGTCTGGAATGAAGTCCGAGTGGTCCGACAGTTTTGTGTACAAATGCTGCACTTGGTCTTTAACCTGAATGTTAATGTGCGCTTGAGCTCCTTTCTACAGAGACCGTATTAAGCGATCGTATAAAGTGACTGTAAAAGTTTTTATTGGATTCTACAAAATTGCACTTTTAAGAACGTTCCCACCAACGAAGTAAAAAAGGAATCAGAATCACGAAAGTAAGAAGATCAATAATTTTCAAACGTGACAAAAAAATTGAAATGTTTAATTTGGTGTGTTGCTACCACACGAGAAATTCTCTCGAAGGACAAGTTTTACATGTGTACAAAACCGGTAAAGTCAATATAAGCTAGTATGTCAATATAGGATCAAGGAATCCCTTGCGTTCTTGTAATACGGAAAATATTTCCTATAGGAAAGAAATCCAATCTCTGACGCGGATAATTCTCAACGGATTACGTTTGCGCAATCAGCGAAAATTAATCTGATCACCGTGTGTTAGCGTTATATTAAGAAATCGCGATCGCGAGATTCGATTAAATGAATATCGCGGTGAATATTGCGCGAGAAGCGCGCTGCAGCATATCGCCTCGCATAATCGCCGTATCCGCACGTTATTATTGCAATCTGGTTCCTGCTAGACGCTCATGCTTAACGCGCACGTACTCGCGTTAAAGGCCGTGTGTCGCGGTCGCGCTATCGCCGGAACCGCTTGGAGTTGTTGGTATTTCAATCGCTCGTCCCCGCCTGTCGCCTGCTTTAACATCTCTCAATACGACGTCGCGCACGCACGCGTGCGTTTTGTGTGCCTTTTTATGGCCACCGCCTCGCAAAAGTCGTACGCTCGCGCCTACATGCATACGTTACGCGAAGAGAGTTTCTTGCCGGCATGATTTTCCTTCGCGGGTTACTTAACTTTCAAACTTTTTATTATATTTTCTTTTATTGCATTAATTTATTGTATTTTCTGTAGATTCCAATTATGTGTTTATTGTATCAATTATTTGAAAAATACACGGAAAGAACGATTTCGTTGGAAAAATTTTGCTGGCAACAGATCTGAAAATAATTCTTGTTGAACCATCAAAATAATTTTGTTGGAAGGTTAAAAATGATAATGACATTTTTATAAAACAATATTTTAGCAATCAGTTTGACTTTCCGACAAGAATTATTTTCAGATCTGTATCCAACAAAATCGTTCTTTCCGTGTATATTTATTAAAAGTGCTGTCATATAATATTTTACGATTATTTTTCTTCCCCTAATATCGATACTCACGTAATAAGCCGGCAAGTGCGGAAAGGTATAGTTTTTATTTCTATTTAATTTTTACATTATTCTATCTTCCACATTCTTTAAGAAAGCTCCTTAAAGAGATCCTCTTTGTGGCTCGTTTGGTAGGCGATTACGGACTCGACCGTTTGGCGAATCCGATACTGTTTCTTGTAACCACCTTTTGCGAGCCTCCGTGGCTTGATAATCACGGTACGAGTGCGGTAAAAGGCAGGTCGAGTGAGGAAAAGAGAAAAGGAGAGGAGAGAGAGAGAGGAGCGTGGGCTGCGTGAGTGAATGAACCCTCGGCGGAACGAGCGAGAGAGGTGTAACACATTCATTTAAGCGATACACTAAATTCTCACAAGCGCGACGCGCAGGCTATTCGCGCCTGCGGTGAGATTTTTATTTATCGCAACTCGTCGAGAGAGCTTAACCGCGACGCTAATTGCGACGCGACCCGCGTCGCGCGGTAATTGCCGTCTATTACGCGTATTGTAGCAGTTATCCGGAATTATGGGTCAAGCCCCGCGCGACGGGGAGGAGTTGTGAGGTGGCGATTGTTGCTGGTGGATATGTGGGTTAACGTAATCCATCGACCCGGATTCTTCCGCCGGCCGTCGTCGTGTAACGAGCGACGTTCGCGCAGTATATCAAGGACACCGCGTTACCTCCGAGTGTGTTCGCTTTTATTCCGTTATCATCCGACACTAACGTCGCTCGCGCGGGGATTCTTAATCCTTATACGGTCTATTGCGACCACATATACGTGGTCGCATCGTACACGAAATTCTTACTACCACGATACTCAAGAAAAGAAAGTTGATCTTCGGAGGAATTTCTAAAGTTTTGAAACTATGCAATATCGCGGAGAGATTAATTTGCAAGACAACTAATACGGCTTGCATGAAAACTGCTATCTTGGGAGTTTTCCGTTCTGCTAACTTGGAATACAGGGGAATATCCTTGCCTCAAAAGTTAAACTAACAGATCCGATGCGACAGCTTATATACATATATCTAAAACACTAACAGAATTTTCTATCGACAGTTTTTTGTTTGCACTCTTTCGAATCCATTTTCCTAAATTCGAGAATTATAATTCGAGATTAACGATTCTGTGAGAACTTTATAAGGAAATCTTTCTCAGACAATTCCGTGAGGATCTTATAAGGAAATCTTTCTCAGGCGATTTTATTACCTGGCGAAAAAGTTGATTCTACTCTTCTAGCAAGTGATATATTTTCGTTCACTTCAGATAAATTTCTCTAATATTGAGCAATTTTATTGTCGTTTCATATGTTATTTTTACGTACACGGACAATGGCAATGAAGATAATTTATTCGAGATCGGGATACGACAAGGGGGTCACGCTGGGACCTAATCTCACTACTCCCGGTAATGTGGAAGAGTTAACGCGTTATCGCTTCTCGATCCCCGCAACGGGGACCTCACCGAGCGGTCCTGTGCCCGGTGAACCCTCGCAATCCCCTGAAGACCCGTGTGCACGCTTCTGTTGCAGTTACGATAATGTAGACTCGCCTAATTATGCCAGGCACCTGAACGGGCACGGCACGCCGCCGGCGGCTAACTCGTCCCAGCGCGATGGCATCCACGGCGGCACCGGCGGCGCCTCCTCGCCATACAATCACAATTATTCCGGGGACGGCAGCTATCAGTACGGCAGGTTCGATGCGAGCGCCCTGCACATCGCCCATGCGCTCAAGCAGACCGAGCTACAGAAGGGCTACAGCAAGGCCCGCGAGAAACCCATCGATTATTATCTGGTGAGTCACTGGTCGGTCGCTGCTCGCGGCCGCGGGTTGATGTAATCGCTCTCGTCATGGTCGTCGCCGTATAAGGACGAGAGTGTTACTATTCCGACACGCGCGCGTGGCACGCCGCGAGCCGGCTAACCGGCGATTGCGTCTAAACGCGCTGTTGCTGAACACGCAATTTCCTGGAGAACCGGAAAACCGTTCTCCTCCACGGGGATCGCGACTCAGCATCTTCGAACGGAGACACGGCGATATCGCGCGGAGATTATTGTTGCGCCGAGCGGGTGCAACAGTCGCGTTCGCTCCGCGCGGCGCGGAGCACCAGCAGCGGCGGCGGCCTCTGCGGGGAGGGAGAGGGGAGGGGGAGGGGGGGGAGAAGGTCTCTGCGAAAATAATCGTTAATTAATAACGCGAATTAGCAATGATAATTTCGAAGTGTGTAGAGAAGCGAACAATGGCGATGTGGTAATTGACTTTTTGCGCACATATGCCGCCCGCTGGTGTTATTAGCTTCTTCCTGAAACGGGGGCAAAGGGGAAGGGGGAGATGCATTGTGTGCATGAGCGAAAATACGCACAATAGGCTGCCAGCTACTTCCGTAGTAATAAAATCCAGATCAATGGTATGCGGATGCAGCTCTTCTTCTGATTTTTTTTTTGCAAGATCTGAATTCGCTAAAGACTGTCTCTTTTCGACCAATTTGTACAACTAATTAAAGTGCGGTTTAATTTATGTTACGTATTTTTTTCTAAATTCTGTTTCCAAAGTACTTTAATTGGTGTTTATGGAAATGATCTAATCATCTAAAGTGGAGTACATTAAACGAGAGAAAAAGAGAGAGAGAGAGAGATCTGTTACACGCATATATTGTACCTACAGTAGGATTTACATTCGAATGAAAAACTGATAAACTTAATACTTTTAATAATAAATTTGAGACATTTTCAGTCAAATTAATATAAAATAGGTATTGTGTTTTACTACACGGAGAAAATTTTATTTTAAAATTTACTTTGAAAATCATGTTAATCGTAGTATTTTAGTATTTTATAAACAACATAGTATTTTATATGATTTTCACTATTTTTTTAAATATATACTACGACAAATTTATTGTAGTGTACAGTAAAATTTGTCAAAGTATTATGTTGTCACGATTAACAAAATTTTCACGGTAAATTACAAAAAAAAATTCTCTCCGTATACAATTACTGCATACATCTTTATACTTACAGATTGAGAATACACTAAATAGCACAGATGATAACATGAATAAATATCTGTGTGATAATCACACATCATTACGTCAATAAATTATATCAATATACTAAAAAGAACGAGAGAGTATAATTTATCGCCTTGTAATCGATAAATTAAGTACAGAAGACAAAATGCAGGAGATGCAGGTCACATATGACTAAATTCGAAGCCGTTTCTCGGCTTTGGCCCGGCGAGACCGCGAGACCTCCGACCGCGGATTTCCGAATATCCGAAACGCGATCCGGCATACATACCGCGTCGCCGCGTGACTCCCATACGCGAATAATCGTCCGACTGGCGCGGTGCAGGAATGCGGCGAACCGTCGCGAGAGAACGGACTTCACATGAAAATGAGATTACCGCTTTTCCCATCCGCACGCCGCGCCGGCCGGTGTAATAAGGCCGAGCCGCTAGTCGCTCCACTATCGGCCTGTGCGTTTTCTCCCAATGCGCTTTCGCGCGTTCAGGATCGTCGTCGCCGATCGATCGACCAATCCTTATTTATATAGCTAAACACCGGTCGCGGCCTATGTATGGCGTTTACGCGGCCGAAAGCGGCGTGGGCATCGGTGAGACCGAGAGACCGAGCCGCACGGCGATCTCCCCGGCGTCCTTTTTCCTCGTCCTACGAAAATATATGCGCGAGACAATCGCGCGATGACGATGCGCGCGCGGTAGCGCGAGACTGTCGCGGGGGGAGGGGGGGGAGAGGATTTGTTAAGGCCGCGCGAGACAATCGCGACTTTTTCTGCCGCGACGGAATAATCGGGCGTGATTTATCCGGCATTTGTTCCGCGTCGCCGTGTGTCGCCGGGGCGGCCTCCTACGCTCGCATGCTATCGACGGGACGCAGTCGAACGAACTCTAGCCGCTCCTGCCCACATGTCGATGATCAGATAATTCTTTCGAATCGAATACGTGACGCGGTGAATGAGTCTCCTTCTCGCGACCATCCGCCGGCATTATGTTTAATTGGCGAAACAGCCCCGGGAATCTCAGGAGCGACGGGGACGCGTAACAGATTGCTGCGCGTGACTGTGATCGAACGACCGCAATTACTCCGATACGTCAGCCTCCGTCGCGAGTCGAGCAATAAATAAGAGCCATACGATTAAAACTGGTGTAGGGTTCCAGAGCGGGAAATGATATCACGCGGATGCGTTTGCTTCTTAATTTAAAGTGGGAACTCGTTTATAATTAAAAAGAAAATCGAGAGGGAACCTCGGAGAGAATCTAACGACCTCTCGCGATGGTAATGCAAGAACTCGATGAAAAAAAAAATTTAATGTAAAAAATTGAAAGCTATCATAAAGAGATAAAGATTAAAAAAAAAAGCTTGAAGGATGAAATAATTATTTCATCGATCAAAAGTACGATGCACCGAAGCACACGGTAAAGATCCCTCGGTGCGAATTAACTTCCTCACTCCGCTCGCTCGTCGCACGCGTTTTCCTCGGAACGCGAGAACAATGCCGCGACAGCCTGTCGTACGTCGTTGTCGTTCATGATTATTCAAATCGTTACCACGCACGGAAGGACGCGTACACGCCGGCGTCGTCTTATTTCCCTCGTATATACGCGAAACCGCAGTGCCGGTCGGGCCGGGACGTACCGCGCGCCGCGTGCACGCGAAGGAAGGCTTTACGTTTGCAACCGAGGGCGGCACGGAGGGGGCGGGGAGCAGAATTATTTCCGCTTGCGGTACTTCTGCACTTGATGGCTAATTAGAGAATCGTTGCCGGGCCGCCGTAAAGAGCTGGCGGGGATAGCGCGCGTGTATCCCGGGCCGCCGTCTCTCACGCGCCTTCGCGCGTAAACGCTTAGGGAAAATTAATCCATTAAAGGCCGTTGTCCCATTTCCGGGAACACGTTCTCTGAAACGGCAGGCGGATCTCGACGACGAATCAAAATGTCTCCGCGTATCGCGGATAACTCGCCGCGCCGCTATACGATTAAAAACTTAAAAATATTATATTTACGTGGGCGCGCGCGACTTTCATCTGTTTCTAGCATAATGTGGCTCCCGGTGGAAAGTCTAAAACACGATTAAAGAAAAAACAACCTTAAATTACGTCAGGTTGAAATCTCGAGTTTTGCTGGTCATTGTGGGAGATGTTGCGAGCAGGTTTTCCAACGGCAAACATTATATAGAAGTCTTATACATTTGTTTCTTGGGTTTTGCAGTCCATTAGTAAATGTTCCATGAAGGCAGTACTGAGCTTTTTTGCTAGTTAAGTTACGTATGTAAATTACGAGAAAATTTAACGAGAAAACAACGTTCTCTAACAGTATGCAAAATTTTTCTTTTTCTGTCTTGTCAAAAAGCCTAGTCGCGTTCATTCAAATCAGATGCTTACACGGAAAGAACGATTTTATTGAAAGGTCTAAAAATTTTGCTAAAAACAGATCTGAAAATAATTTTTTGTTGAATCATCAAAATAATTTGTTGGAATATTAAAACTGATAAAAATCGCTATAAAACATTTTGATATTTTAGCAATCACTTTGACTTTCGCACAAAATTATTTTCAGATCTGGATTCAGCAAAATTGTTCTTTCCGTGTACGCATTACTATGACATACGACTATGAAATACAACGTGGACTTTGCTAGCGTTTTTTGTATCAGAGAAAAATTATACAATGCGTTATTCTACTTCAAAATAAATCTGTTAAGACATATTTCGTGAAGTATACTAATTTTCTTTGAGCTAGATTTCAATTATTTATATGGAGTAAACCGTTATCTTTCTCTCTCTCTCTCTCTCTCTCTCTCTCTCTTTCTTTATCTTTCTTTCTTCCAAATTAAATTGAAAAGATTGCATTGAGAAGAAATCCCGTCGTATGACTTCAAAAGAACATGTTTGTCTCCCGCAGCAGTAACATTTCCCCGACTCATATTTTCATTGCATTAATATTTCCGGTTGCGACTACAACGAGCGAAAAGAGTCGCGGGGCGCAACTCGTACCTACCATTTTCGAAAAAATACACCGGAAGAGGATTAGTTCACTTTTGTCGACCAGCGGCGGGTTGTCGCTTCCCCGAGGAGACTCTCTTGGAAGCGAATGAAAGCAGAAACGCGACGTGAAAGTAAATTATACAAAAAGTGGAGTACCTACCTCTAAGGCCAGAGCTGCGGGCGTTTTAAGAAATAGAAACGTTTCATTGCGTCCGACCATATCCGCGAGCACCGTCTTCTTATGTGACTTGGCGGAATGCTTCCTGGCACGTAACGACATTTTAATCCTTAATTAGTAATATGCCAATCGCATATATTAGCCTTTTGAAATTACGTACAGTGCCGAGTGTTCGAGATATGATACTTTATACAGCTTCTACATGGTATAGATATAATTTAAATTTTTCTACGTAATACTTAACGTAAATACATTTTAATAAATTATAAGAGTAAATTATATACATATATTAATTGGACATCGAAAGATATGTATCCTTTTTCGACATCGTTAGACAATGAAATTATTAAATGTTTACATATATTACATGTTATTGCATGTAATATTTTATATATTTTCATTGCAATACTTTTGAAAAGAAGCATCCCCGTTGTCAATTAGAAATTAAAGATACGAAGAATTAAGTTTTAATAATTTTTCGTTTCTTTTTTGGCTGCGTTAGGATCGCGATGAACAGACGCGTCTCGAGATGAAACATCGGAAAGAAGAGGATGATTTATACCGAAAGTTTGCGCATCATCGCGAGGAAGAGGATCGACGAATTCGTGAGGAATTCCGAGTATGTAATGACTGAAGCGAATTTTAACAAAAGTGATAACATTCATTTGTGTTTTATGAATTATTTTTTACACGCTGTGTAACATTAATTACAAATAATATACGTTAGTGAAATTTCAATATATTATGGTTTGAAAAGGACGAGTGGGAGAAGGAGCTCGAGCAATTGTCGGCGAGATGGGAACGGGAAAAAGGCGGAAGAGTTCGAACCCAACAATTTCAGCAGGAGAAGGAAGACTTGGAGAAGAACATGACTCTACGCAGGGACAAGAAGAAGGAAAGTCTCACGCGCAAGATGCTGGAGCACGAACGGTATTTATATTATGTAATTAATGTGATACCCACATCTTGCTTTTAAATCGGAGAGGCAATACTTATACATTAACGTCACGGGGATTATTTTATTAAATTGAAACACATGCATAATCATCGAGCGTAAAAGATAACAGAAATATCTAGTTTTCTCGATATACGTAGTAAACATTTCATAACGTATTTATTACAACTTAATAAATTTAATAAATATAATTTCAGATAACACATAATTAACATTACATGTTAAAATTGGAGAGAAGTTGTTCAATTAATTTGATATTTATATATAATCGATATATTTTTTCTTAATTTTTTTCCCATTTATACCTTATAGGATAAAAATACTCGTGATTTGTATATTATTTACTAAATAATATATTAACAGTCAAAAATCTCAAACGGGATTACGAATTCCATGCATTTTTCGTTACGGAAGAACACACGAAAGAGTTACGCGTGCAACACGTTACGAGCCGCGGGTAGCTTCGGCTTTACGTTCTTTCTTTTTTTTTTTTTTCGTTTCTTTTTCCTTTCGGACGATAAACAAGCTCGCGTGCGTTGGCGCCCGCGAACCGGGAAGCCGGGTTTTCGCGCTCAACACAAAAGCTCCTCGTTACTCCTGATCAATTTATAGGGCGGCAACCGCCGCGCTGGTGGAGAAACAGAGCTCGGAGATGCTGGAGCTGATCAATGAGGCGAGAAGCGAGTACATGCTACAGGAGAGTTTATACCTTGACGAAGGAGACGGTTATACCCAGGAAGCGCCGCCGCCGCCTTATCCGTCGCGCGCGCCACCCCCGCAGCCGCCAGCCCTCGCCAAGTACCATATCTACAATGATCCCCTGGAGTTCGCCGACATGGATCAGATAGCTATTTCGGTAAGACCTCACCGCGGAATTCTTTCAGCGCTGGCTTCCTCTCCAGCCAGTCATCCTCCTTGTCGTCGCCACGAGATTTTGCGGTGCACGGTCTATCGCAAGTATTCTGAGGCCGCTATCGTTTTTTTTTTCTTGCATTATAACATCCCATTTAATTTATCGTGCGTTTTATTTAAGCGGATTTAAATAAAACGCTCGAGGGGAAATTTTTTTAAAATTATTTTAAAATCTATCCGCGATATGGATATCTTTACTTCCTTTTTTCGTATAATTTCTCGGAGATGTTGGATTATATGAATAAGCGACCAAGTCAGGCAACGCGCCGTAGTTTTAACGTCGCTTTTACAAGATTCACTGATACTAAATGCTTCATGATATCTTGTGCTGTTCTTAGGTAGCTCAAGAAGATCAAAAAACGTTCACCGACTTGGTGCGACAGTTGGTGAGCAGATGCGGATCGGATATAGAAAAGGCGAGGACAATATTCCGATGGATCACCGTGAAGAATCTGAACACTATGCAGTTCGATGAAAACTTGCGGGGTGACACTCCCATGGGCCTGCTGAGGGGCATCAAACACGGCACGGAAAGTTACCACGTTCTATTCAAACGATTGTGCAGGTAACCACACGCTCTAATATTATAAAAAAATAGATGAACTTGTATAAACAATTTTTACAAGTGTACATAATTGAAAACTTAGCAAGTGTACATAATTGAAAACTTAACTTTGCAAAAATGTCAAGAATTTACACATACAATTATTCATGTTATTATTTTTGAGCATATAATTTCGAAAAATAACATAATTCATGCTTTTAAATTTGAAAAGAAAAGAATCTGCGAGATTTTATTTTTCATAAAAATATAAATAGATTTAATAAGAATAATGCCGAGTATTTTTCACAAAATAAAAAATCTAAAATATTATATTACATTAATGTAATCATATATCTGATGGGAGTAGACTTTTAATTTTTATTGTATTATTGCACTAGTCTCATTGCATTATTAAACTCGCATAAGATTAAAACAGAGAGTCTATGGAGAGATTAAGGATCAATTATATCTGTCTCTATAGAGAGATTAAGAATTAACTATATCTGAATGTTTAATATTTATTCGTACATTTCGCTCGTGAAAACGAATGGTATCTAAATCGTTAAATAACATGGTATGCAGTTATGCGGGCTTGCACTGCGTGGTCATCAAGGGTTACAGCAAGTCGGCGGGCTATCAGCCGGGCGTTTGCTTCGAGGACAACCGATTCCGGAACAGCTGGAACGCCGTGTACGTGGCAGGTGCGTGGCGGTTCGTCCAGTGTAATTGGGGGGCACGACACCTCGTCAATGCCAAAGAGGTTCCCCGTCCCGGTCAAGCGAAAGCCAAGAACGACAGCCTCAGGTAACGACATGCCAAAGAGTATCCGCGGTATCGTGATTGGAAGCGTTTTGCATGTGCAAATAAAAACGATCGATGAGATCACGAGAGACGTTTCACTTAGGTACGAGTACGACGATCATTACTTCCTGACGGACCCCCGGGAATTCATATACGAATTCTTCCCTCTGCAAGAGGACTGGCAGCTGCTCAAACAGCCGATTTCACTTAAGGATTTCGAGGAATTGCCTTTCGTACGATCTCTTTTCTTCAGGTGAGGCAGCATTCCGGCTTTTCTTTTTGTTTCCGGAATATGCGAGAAATAAAAGAGAAAGCCGGATTTACGCACAGATTAAATCGCTACAATATTTACGACTTGCTCTACATTACAACTCACTGTTCAATGTCACACGCTATTTATATACTTTCATTTAATTTCACGCCACTTTAAATTGGACAGAGGTAATATAGCAGCTTCGAGCGTATCACGTCTTAACAAATTAAATTCGCTCATTGAAGCGCGCTCAAAGACCGTTAGAGGCACGCAATTAAGCCGACGATCTCGTGCAAGCGTGGTCGAGATTGGTCTATTAACAATGACCGTAAGTTGCACGGCGAAAATACCGTTCGGATAAATTCTGCGTGCACAGGTACGGCCTTTACTTTCCGGATACGAATACGAATGCCGTTATGTATACGGATTCCACCGGTGCTGCGACCGTGAGGATAGCGATGCCGGCGAATATGCAATCATCCCTTATCTTTCATTACAATCTCAAGTTTTACGACAACGACGGCGACGGCTACGATGGTGTGTCGCTCAAGCGTTTTGTCATGCAGGTAAATTGATAGTCTGCGTCCTTCGTATTCGCGCGATGATTTATCTCAAACTGATTTATCAAGCGACTTGAATTACGTCGCTTGATTTTAAAATTTCAGCTATACAAAACAATTCATGTGTTTTTAAATTGATGTAAAATAATCCTCTAATGGCTTATATTTTGAAACTTGAATATTCAATTCAAAAATTAAAAGAGAGAAAGAGAAAGATAGACATAGAGAGAAAGAGAGAGATTAATTTTAGCTTATACACTGAGAAAAAAATTGTTGATTTAAAAAAATATTATTTCATTCAACTGCAGCAATCACGGGTTGTCAAGTAAACATTTGTTAATTCACAAAAATATCATGTTATTTTAATGTATGTTTAATTCAAAAACATATATAATTGAATCAAAGAAAAACTGTCAACAAAACGCATTTAGTTATTTTAACAACTTTTTTTCTCAGTGTATAATTATATTTTTAAAACATTTATATAATAGATAAAATTATTATTATATATTTTGATATTATTACTCATTTTTTCGAATTTTCTTATATTATTTTTGTACTTTATTTCATAATGCTGTCGAGTTACATATATTTAAAAGACGAGCTTCATTCGTCTAAATTGATAACACGATAAAAAGATAATACATTCTCGGATTGATATTTAAATAAATTTTATAAATTCGAAATTTTTTTAGTCGGTGGTGGGGAATATAGTTGCGTTCCGAGTTCACGCGCCGTGCTCCGGAGCCTTTCTCTTGGACATATTCGCCAACGCGGTAACACCAAAGGAATACTTGACCGGCGAACCGATGAAGTTCAAGAGCGTTTGCAAATTCAAAATCGCATGCGAAGAATTGCAGACGGTGATGGTACCATTGCCAGATTGCGCCAGTGGCGAATGGGGTCCCACTAAAGCTACCAGATTATTTGGTCTTATACCTATCACTCATCAGGTATGTTCATTAGTTAAATTGGTCTTGCACAATTATAGCAACAAATCGATACCAACGCAGACTGTACAGGGTGATTCAGAAATACAAATATAGACTTCTATTTCTTTAAGGTGGTTTTATCGCAAGTTCCAGTCAAAAATTAGTTCGTCCATGACCATTATTATGACTAATAATTCAATAAAAACAAACGTAATTCAATAAAAAACATTTCGCATAGATTGTACATATGCGATTGTGTGACATTTATGTGACAACATCCAACTATCGAGTTGGCGTTGAAGCGTCGAGTTGAGCGATAAAACCACACTTAACATATTGAAAAGATAATAGTTAACCAAAATATCGAATGTATAATAATATATTATACGTAAAAATTAAAAATTACAATATTGAATAAAAATCATCACTCATTGTTAGTAGAAATAGAAAGAAAACGTCTTGATTATATATTTTTAAAAATAAAAAAAAGATTAATACTGATTTGTAAGATGCATTAAATTTTTCAAATCTATCGAGCATGATATTACGTAATTTATTATACGTTTTACGTATAAGGAAAGATAATATTTCGGTCCACAAAAAACAATCCCGTGAAAAAACAAATTTCCTTCCCGCTCTTTTCTCTCACGTATGGAAATGAAAAAAAAAAGAAGAGCCAAGAAAGAGGAATCTTCCGATCTTATCGCACCTGCCAGACGGGCGGTTTACAATCGCGCGATCTATTGATTTTAGGAAGCTCTGGTGTTCGCCGGGCGCGAGCTGGAGATTCAATTTCGCATGTCGAGGCCGTTGACGGACTTTATGGCGACCCTGCACAAGAACGGCATCGAGGAGAAGCGTCTGTCCAAGTACGTGACGCATTCCATCGCCGACGACGACGTGGTCACCTTCTCCATAAGTTTCCCCGAGGAGGGCCAGTACGGTCTGGACGTTTACACCAGGGAATCCACGGTCTCGCCCGCCGTTCAGCACGACGTCACCGGCGAAAAGCATCTGCTCACGCACTGCTGCAAGTATCTCATCAATTCCAGCAAGAGGAATTGAGAGTGAGCGCTCGGGCGCTCTTGAAACATAGTTTCGGCTTCGTCCGAGAATTTCTACTCCAATTGCGGACGGCGAGGATTGAAATTCCAGTGCTCATTAAGACGAGCGACAACGGAACGCGCTTCTTTCGTGATGCTTTCGGAAAATTATTAAAATCGGGAAAACTGGAATGGAAATATTTTGCAGGCATAATGAACGTATATATACTGTCACTATATACTTTATCGCGATGAGACGACGGCAACGGTTTTATGATCCGAAAGTCTCGCTCGTCGCACCGAGCTCATTCTATTCTTAGAGGACAGGGAATCTACAACGTTCTCCGGAAGTGGATAGGCCATTAATGCTAAATTAATGACACTTTGCCGTGAGACAAAGAGAAAGAGAAAAGAGAGGAGAGAAGCCGGTCGAGTGACGACGGTGACGAAGAGGCAATGGTGAAAGCAGTGACGTTTTACGTCATTCTTCAAAGACTATTTTTATGCAATTCCGCTACCTCGAGTCTAACAGTAGGCTTACGACTTGGAGATAATTATTAATGTTAAACTAACTATGGAATTTTAGTTTCGCGCGGGAGAGACATTTTTCGAAGGGCTCCAAGCAGCAAGGAGTACCTTCGGTATGTGAACGAGACGGGTTTAACGCGACTTCCTGAACACCCGGTATATCCGGGACGCGCTCTTGCGGTCTCGTGCTCCCTTGTATCATCTACCGAGTTAGAGTACTTCCGTATAATGATCCTCCCCCGCGCGATCATGCTTCTCTTACGCAACGTATCAAATAAATTATTGCGATCTGCGATTCCGTCGTATAACAATTTCACCTCGAAGCTTTACTTTCACCGACAGATTTATATATTTATCTCTAATACCACACATTATTATTTTCAGTACTACCTATTATTATACACGTCCCCGATCGCGGATCCATATTAAGCGTGTGACGCGTATAGATCGAAGCAAATATAATATATTTTATGTAGGAGAGAGATGCTTCTGTATATATAATGTACGTACAAGATCATTACGACTTGAAAGTATCGTTATCTACAAGGAACACTGACTCGTGATCTGAAAAAAGTACTCGTCCAATTTCGTTTAATCCACTCTTCTACTTCTTTTTAAGTATATTGCTTCCTCTGTAGGATTCTACTATCTATTTTGCACTTAGATTCGCGCGGTCTCTTTTCAAATTGATACGTTTTTCAAGTCGCAATTTTCGACATGCACAAGGTGCTATACTTTTATCTTAATTATCCCTTACAATTAATCGCACAATCGAGTATAGCAGTCATACAATTATTTAGCGGTAGGATATTATAGTATTCGCACCGTCGATTACGCGAGCAAAAACGACATTTATAATAATTAAGAAGAAGAACGGTATATATTTGTTAATCGTGTAATATTAATCTTTCTTGTTGTCAATTAAAATTTTAACCACGAATGGAACTCCTACATTATTGTCTTATCTAATAGATGTAACTCGAGCTTACGAAGCCTATTTTGTTATTCATTAACATCCATAAGTATGTAAATTAATTTTTTATATATTGTAGTTACTTATAATAAAATTTAATATTCTTGTATAAAGATTTAATAAATCGATTTCCACAAAATAATTTCGGTTTAATTCAACAGATCTCGATTTCCGCAAATCCGATCTCAATTAAACGTTATTCAACTAATTTTTTTAAAAGCACGCTTATTAAATATTGTTTTTAAAATTTTCTTTTTTAACAAGACCTCATATTGACAATTCTGAGAAAGAAATCATAGAGAGTTGTTAAAAATATTCTAATTATTCTATTATCTACTCAAGATCGTTTGTGACAGATAATTAGAAAATATACGTGTAGCTGAAATCACGACAAATTCAAGTAAATAATTAATTTCCGTAAAATTTCCTGACAAACAGCAACCCGCGTTGCACCATTCCATCGAGCATGTCAAACGTAACGGTACGTCCATCTTGCGGTAAAGAAGAAGAATTTAAATTTCTTGAATCAAATGCATGATTTTATACGGGCTTGAAGAAGGTGATGTATTACAAGCGCCTTTAGTACCGTATTCTCGCTTTTAGATAAACATCCAGTGACTATTTCAATAAATCGAGTATTTAAAGGAAACAATCGCAAACGATAAATCCTATTCGCAAAGCTATTTTAGTATGAAAAAACGACAATCGATTTTAATCAGCTATTATTATCTTGAACTTCTATGTAATTCGAAAATAAGCCTGAATGACGTAATCCTTAATATAACTCAATAATCAATATAAACTACCTTAACGTACGGATATATACGGATACTGAGTTACATTTCATGCAAATTTAATTCCATCAATCGTTTATTCTTATTTTAGAAAACATCTTTTTCTGAGTTCAACGTTGACATATATTATAATTCTGTAGATGAAAATATCTACGGATATATATGGTAACGGACTATTAATAAAAGACTCAAAGACAATGACCTTGGGCAAATCTACGACAAATTTGAAATCGCAAAAAGCACCATTGATAGATACATTCAGTGACACGGCGGCTATCGATTTATTTGTCGAATTACCGCTGAGTGGCGTTCGTGCGACCGTAGCCGAACAAAACTTACCGTTACTAAAGTTTCACGAAGCGTGAACGGCATCTACTTCTTCGATCGTTCGCTTTCTTTTTCAAACCGACTCGTGATTCCTCTCTACCGCAGCCGCATATTATGAAAACTAATTACCGGGATTCGTCTTGTGCATTAGTTTCGGAGATGAATCGTCAGTCGTCGACTGAAGTCTTCTTTATCCGCGTCGCGACGAGTCGCCGGTTCATTCGCTAATTAAATAGCCGGGTAGCAAACTCGGCCCCTCTTCCTTCTCTGCTCCCGCAACGTCGTCAACTTCCGGAATAGGAGGACAATCCCTCGGAATTGCCGGGACGAGAAAGAAGTTTCCTTATTCCACAACGGTACGTGCGGAAAGAAAGATTTCATCGCGCGGGCGGACCACTTTGTGATTTATAGCCCGCTAACTGCTTATTGTAATTGCAGATGAGGGCATCCATTATTGTTATTATCAGCGTCGGGTGCGGAGACAGGACGCGGGATTTAGAAGCTGCTCTCGCCTTATCGTCGCGCGAAATGGGAATTTCTGTTCACGGCGGTGGCGCGGCTAGAATTTTTAATGGCACTTACACAGCAGAGCTTATCGCGTGGGAAAGGCAAAGGCCTTCATATTTAATTTTTATTAACATAAAATTATCGGTTTGTACACTCATTCTGAATACATGTATAACGCGATTTATCGTCGATGTCCTCGAAAGGACTTCGATCGGACGGCGATTTATTGTATACGCGAAGCACGAAGTCGTAATTATTTTCGCATCTGCCCTTGTTTTAAGCATCACGCTGCACAAAATCTGGAATGCACGACAGTCCGCGCGAGAGTCCCGTGCTAAAAAATAAGATATTTGATTACCCGGCTTATTGTGACGCTTCTGGAACAGTTAAAAGGTTTTGATAGCTACTGCTGCAACGAGTTCTCTCTTCGCTCCAGTTTCCATTGTTTGATGATGGTCGCTTGTTAGTATTTCACGCTCCATACACACCACATAGAGAGATGATATGGACTCAGAGTGTTTAACAAGCCTCTTCCTTCGCTCCTTTTTTTCCCTCGCGCTTCCTTCCGCAGCCCGTTAGATGCCACGTCTTTATAATTGCTCACCGCAAATGGATGGCTATTAATGTATACGTCTATTCGCCAGTATTCCGACCGCAACATCTTAATAACTGCCGAGTTGCAAATAGCAGACGGTTGCTGCACTTTTTTAATTCCTTTCCTCTTACGTACTGTTGTTTAATACAGTATCTTAAAAAACTTACTTATTAAAAGTATCGAAAGTTTAATTAAGTAGAGTGAAAGAGAATTTTTTATTTATTTATTATGAAAAACTTTTTTTCAAAGTTACTTACATATATACACAAAAAAGATACTGATTATAACATGGACTAAAAAGATACATGACATAATAATTAACATATTATTAATACTCCTTGTATCAATATCTCATAACGAAGTAGAGAAAGTTTATAATATGAATGAAAAAGAATCTTCTTTTTTAATATATTAAAGTGTGTGTGTGTGTGTGTGTGTATGCAATGTACCAATTTTATTTCTTTTTTTGTTAAATTTTCGAACACAAACGTCAGAGGTGTCACGCCACTATCCCGCGCATGCATCGCATCGGCCCGCTTAAAATATACAGCGCTGTGAAACGTAAAAGCTATTGCCTTTACGAGTGGACTATTTTTGCCGGGCGCCGCGCGCCGCGCGCCGCACACGCCCACCGCCTCCTCTAATCTGAGGCGCGAGCATCTATAATGCATGCCGGGGCCGTGAGGGTATTTCTAATCCCACGCAACCCCCTTGTGGGAGCCGCAGATAGAGAGTCCAAATATCGGGCGTCGAAGTAGCGAGCGCGCTGTTTTCCGAGGGGGCGACCGGCTCGGCACCCTCGCGCTCGCGCGCGCGCGGCGGTGAGTCACGCGAGAGAACGGCTGCGCGATCGTCGAAGATCTCTCGCGACGAGACGGAAACGGTAAAGGGATAAGATAGCTTGGAAACTCGATCCCCTTGCGTGTGAGTTCCCGTGCCCGGGTAAAAATCTTTAAAGCTCGCCCTCCTTGATAGGGGCGAGTATTACGCGACGAAAAATTGTGAATTTACCGGCTGTTTTAAAGGCAGAAATAATTTCAACAAAAAGCGTGGAATACACCAAAAGACAATTAATTTACGCCAGCAAAATTATATATGGGGATATTATAACAGAATTTTTTTATATTATACGGTTCAGTTGTTATAAAGCAAAATTAAATTACGGAATATCAGGCCGAGTCATTTACACGTTATGTGTATGTTTTTCCTCTTCGTTTCTCTAATGTAAAATACGGTAAAAATAAATTTTGAAGGAAGGCAAATTTTCATACAAAGGCCGAAAAGTCCTATTATTCCTGCGTTTGATAAAATTACTGCGATACAAATTGAAATTCGTTATAACTCTGAAATTAAATTCGAAAAATTATTCAGTATTATTTAGAGGGGCATACAAAATGGGAAGCTTAAAAGCTACATCACTTCGAGTGAGGGAAAATGTATAAGAATCCCGTCAAGTATGTGCTAATAAAACGAAGAAGCGAGCCGAGTGTTTCGATTTCGTTGCCGCGCGGAATGAGAACAATCGGAGGGTGAAGGAGACCTCTCGAATAATAACAGTAATAACAGTTCCGCTGGGCGCTGTCGGCTCTTTCGATACGACCGCGGAAAGCGTCATCATTTATTCGATGGTACCATTCCGTATACGCGCGCGAATTTCTTCCCCGCACTCTTATAATAACACGCAGCCGTGTCGCCCCTTCGCTCCCGACCGACGTCTCGATGATACATGTCCGTGGTCTTCCTCCACTTTCACGCGGGACAACGGAGAAGCGGATCTCTCTACCCCGGTTTGGCAGATCGAACGATGCATTATTTATCCGGAATCAGAAACGAGAGTAATCGGCCGCAGCGTCGGAAGATCGCGCGACCGAGATATCAATCCAAGGGAGGAGAACGATTTCCACAAACTGGCGAGTCCGCCGTATGGCCTCGCGCGATTGAAGAAAGCGGAGAACGAATTCCACTGTCCGATCACCGAATTACGAGTCCACGTCGAGTATCATAATGCCGTAAATATATGAGATCCTGCCGGGTCGCCGCAGTTAGATGAAAAATGCTAAAGAGCGCGAACTGAGAGGAAATCAATGGCGATTGTTTTGATTAAAAATAAAAAAAATGCTTTTAAAAATAGAAATAAGAAATTAATTATTAATAAGTATAAGTAATGCAGAGAAATTATCTTTCGATTAGTAAGAAATTATTTTTTTATACAGAGAAAAATATCCCTCGGTTTGTATTAGATATCCCAATATCATTTCCAATCGATTTTTTATTCTGATTATTAAGACAGGAGAAAAAGAATCTTATTAAGGAGTTACACACCGCCTAAAAATCATAGGTAATTTTGGAAATTTTTTTTAGGAAAACAATAAAAGTAATAAAAAATTCGTTTTAAAGCTTTAATAATGTAAGTCTTTAAAAGTAAAAAATATTTTTTTAATTTATTTTTTTAATAAAATGACGACGCTGAAGCCATTTTATTAAACGTCGTTTTGTAGCCACTGTCAAATCGGCGTTGCGGGGATCTGCCATTCGATTAAACCTAGAACAAAAAACCTAAATTTTTTAAAAACTTTTTAAAATAATATGCACTAAAGAAATACATACGGATATTTTAAAATATAGATTTTTATAAAAATTGCGAACATTTGAAAAAAAGTGTCATTTTCGGCCAAAAAATTTTGCCAAGAAATGTTAAATAAAAAAAAAGTATTTAACATATCGAAATATCCGTATGTATTTCTTTAGTGCATATTATATAGTTTTTAAAAAATTTTGGTTTTTTGCTCCAGGTTCAATCGAATGGCAGATCCCCGCAACGCCGATTTGACAAAACGACGTTTAGTAAATTAACTTCAGCGTCGCCATTTTGTTACAAAAATAAATA